ATATTTTCATATAACTATTATGTTTAACGGTTGAGATCATGAGTCAATTGAAGATAGACCACCATGGAAAACCTGAAAGCACTGGACAGCCATTTCGTCCTATTGTCAGATTCCACAACAGTGTGCATCCACGATCCCGCCTCGTGAGATTCGAATACAGAACCTATCAGTCTCGTATGAGAGCAAGCGCTTTACAAGTAGACCACTGATCCGGCCGGCATTCAACGGAGCTAATGTCTAACTTCAACCAATCCACGAAACTGAGCGACACTTCAGTTGACTCATAATCTCGACCATTGAAATGACTATAATATCCACAAAACTCTTCTGATATAATGATTACATAATAATTACATTTATTAACACTTACGTCATCGATTGGGACATTGATTAGAATTGGTAATGTAAATAATATCGAAAAAAAGTTTATGCGATTCACTACCTAATGTAAAATGATCACTTATTAAATTCACTTGGTATTGTTTACTTGTATCTTCCTATTGTTATTTAGAACTGCAAATGATCAGTCTGGGTTCAAGTCCGAGTGTGAACATCAACTCTGAGATGCATGTACATCCAGCTGACAAGTCCCAAGTAAGACGAAACGCGCGTCAAACTGGATTCCACTATCCAACATTGATTACTTATTAAGTTTTAATTTCTTTGTTACAATTTTTACTCTTTTCATTTATCAGATTTCTTTTTTTTCTTCTTCAACAATAGATCTTGTGACCGAATGATTATTTCTTTTTGTCTTTTATAATAAACTAAACAATCCTATGATGATTACATGGTTACATAATCTAATTACATCATCATAGTCATCATCATTAAAATGAAAGTAAATTAGATGGGAGAAGAAAGAAAAAGAATTCAGTTTGTCCAATTAGAGACAAAAAAGTCGATGTATTCGGTGAGATCTATAATTTATGGACAATCTTTGACTGACGCTAAAGTAACCTTGAGAATGTCCACCTCCTAATTAGGACAAAATGATAGTTATAAATCAATGTGGGAAATTAGAATTATGATTAACAGTTGATGGGGTCAAGAGTTAGGGATTAGATTTCGGGTTTCTATCACGAACTGACATCAACTATAATGATAAATATCAGTTTAGGTGTTGTGAAGATTGTTAAGTTTTTGATTGAAATCATGAGTCAATTGAAGCTAGACCACCATGGAAAACCTGGAAGAACTGGAAGGCCGGGACTCCTCAGCAGTTCTCATCCACGATCCCGCACCCCGCGAGATTCGAACCCACGACCTATTAACTAGACCACTGAGTCGGCATCCAATGGTGTTAATGTCTAACCTCAACCAATCCACGAAATTGCGAGACCATTTTCCATTTTACTGAGGTAGACACCTGTTTCTACCCGAGACGGATTAGCCCCACTGGTCACGGCTATAATGATAAAGCTGTATATAGCCAAAATTCAAGATCTGCCATCTTAAATCTGATTGGTTCGTTCATAAATTACAATCTCGCCTATTACGTAACAAAATATTTATTTATAAATGTAGAAATTTCTTTGTAATTTAAGTGTATATTCCCTTTTGTTTTTTCCAGTTGATGTACAATGTACTAATAAATGTGCTTAGAAACTGCAGGAATTTGAACACAGTTCATACTTTTTAAATCCCAACTGTTGATTCATACTATTTCGTTGCTATTACTTATAATCATTATTGATTACTATGTGTGTTGTTATACGGGGGAATGATGAACAGATCCCAACAGAGATTTATTAACTCTAGTCCTCAATATCAACAATTAGAACAAGTCTGTTGACATTGGAAAGTAGCAGCTAGGTAGATAACCTGTTGATAGTTGAAGTAATATATACTATATTTAAGTCAATAGAGATACCGACATTAGGAGTGAATCACACGCAGCTGTTGAGTTCCATGAGTGGCAAAACTCTCATCCTGAATTTTACTTTGCCATAATTCAAATATGCTAGAATTGTCAATATATTTATAGGAACTGAACCAGGAAACCGTGATTTTCTCTTCAAGTTTCCCAATTTTTTGATTATGTATTTTTGCAAACAGTTGTGAACATAATTGACACTTATAATTAATGGATTCTAAGATCAGTTGCAATATCAAAACCATGAATAATGACCATAGATAAATAACAGGATGTTTTGAATTAAAGTTTCCTGCCGGTCAGTACACAGTTGTATAAAAAAACCGTAATCTGGAGAAAACGGATATTAGTACCTGCGGAAATATGAAGTTTTATTGTCCGGCGTCACAATTCAATATATTATCAATGAGACATTTGTACTTATTTACTTAATTACTCCTGTTACTCCTCGTGGAGCAGTATAGGCCGCTCACCAGCACTCGCCATTCAACCCTTTCCCAACCAATCCTTTCCAGCTGTTTCAGTTATATTTATCTTTTTCATATCTGATTCTATTTCTCTACGTAATGTGCTCTTTGGCCTTCCTCTTTTCCACTTCCCTTCAGGATTCCAAGTTAGGGCTTGTCTCGTGATGCAGTTTGATGATTTGCGTAATGTATGTCATTTGTACTATTACTTAATTCCCTTATGAGTAATATATTTCTTTAGTATATTTTTGGTAAACAGTAGACAATGTTTACTGCTTATTTCAAATTGAATTTCTTTCATCGAGTTTCTAGTGCAATTACTAGGTTATATTGTCTTAGTGTAGTAAGACAGGATAAAATTAGAAAGGAGAGCACCACCGGGTGATGCGTACAACTTGATACATCATTAAAGTGTAATTATAGTCTCAAGGTAGCAATACTGAGAAACAAAACCAGTAACAATGATTTGAATATCTTCATTTCTGAAAGAATCAACTCCATAACTAAGAATAACCAACAATATATTCGTGACTGAGAATTCATTTTCATGTTATTTAAACCTAAATATATTTAAAGGATCTTAGATAAACTAGTTTTGTGTAGATTAGTGTAGATTACTCATTGATGTTCATTATTAATTGACCACGGTTTGGCTCCTAAGATATATGAACAGCTATTTCCTCCTAATCTTGAACTCATCTATATCTGTATGCGACGTCAACATAGATCAATCTCAGAGTTTTCATGAATCGTGGTGAGTATCTTGAAAAAAAACCGAACTAGTAAACTAAAGTTTAATAGTACCAACCTAGTGGTTCATTTTACCAAATGCTCATCACGACAAATGATGAGGTCCAGTGAGCACACTAATAAGGAATCCTAGACTATGGCGTAACAACTGATAGGTCCTGGGTTCGAATATCGCGAGGTGGGGTCGTGCATGCGCACTGTCACGTAGTTCCATAATAGGACGAAACAACCGTCTAGTGCTTCCAGGTTTTCCATGGTGGTCTAGCTTCAATTGAATCTCAATTGATCTCAACTATTATAATTACTAAAATCTCCACAAAATACCTTCTGAAACTATCCATTTATTTCTGTTCAGTCAATCAGTCAGTTACAAAGTTGGAAAAGGCACATATATGCATCGGTCCAACTTAAAACACCTTACTCATTATTAGCACAACATAACGAACAACAAATTCATAGAAGTAGTCACTTCAATTGTAGTAATATATAAAATAAAAACTGCATATAAGGATATAATACAGGAAGAAATAATTAGTTGATAGAAAGAAAGATATGAAGCGATTTTAATCTCTTGGTTTAAAGGAAGACAGAGAATGTGTAAACCGACGTCATTGTGATCGATTGTGAGCCATGTCACACACAGTCTCCAACCATTGGTTACGATAGTGACGCGGACCCTAACCAAGTAGTCTGCATCTATCAACATGGCTCAGACTAAAAGTTAGTGACTTTGTGAACTGATGCTACGATTTGGTTTGGCCGCCCCTAACTTTCTTCCAACTGCATCTAATACTAGTCAGTATTCCGCGTCGTGGTAATCGGTGTTGAGGCTTAGGCAACACGTGACCCAACCATCTCAGTCGATGAAGATTACCAACTTCATCAATTGATTTACCCTCATTCCTTAATACTTTGCATCTAACCTCACTATTACTTACCCGATAATCTCAGTAGATACGAACAATATTTCTAAGCTTCCGAGTATCTTCTACTCTTAATGACCACATTTTGCAGCTGTCAAGTAGAACAGAACAAACTGAATTGTAGTCAATCTTGAATGAATACTACTCATTTATTTAAGATATTCTTACTATCATCCAATCTATCATTATTCAATTGTATTTACTATCACAATAATGATAATAGTTACCAATAGAGTTTTTATATATCATCATTATGACATAAAGAAATTGTAGCCATGATGATCAAATGATCAATAATTTGTGTAAATGTATCTATGCCACACATTTTCATTATTTCTATAATTATTACATGAATCAATAATCTTCTCAATGATTCCATTACATAATAATATTGTAGTGAACAGATCACAGATAGAGACAGCCGAAATGTATTTAGCACAATAAAATAGAAAAACCATATAGTAACTCGTTAGTTTGCAAAATATCAATCCATCATGTCAACCTGGACTGTTCCTGTTGTAAACATCAATCCATTGTCTCATATTTCATTGTTTATACGTTTTCTTACAAATCGCATTGTGTTCTCGCTTTTCCTTTATTGATCTTCCTCCATTTTCTGCCACCAGACATTGTGTTTTGTAACTCGCGTCATATATTACTTACATCAATATAAGTAGCACGCACCACAATATGATTACATCATAATATCTTAGTTATGGATTCCCAATAGTTAAAATGTTAATCCTTCAATACTATAATATAAATTGATTATTGATCATTAAAAAAAAGAAAAAAAAATTTTTTTGTTTTTTTGTTTAGTAACTAAATAAAATTGATTATTTCCTAAAAAAATTTTTTCTTTTTTTCTTTTTAGCGAACAGAATCCATGAAAAATAGAGATATAGTTTGTAGTTAATAGATGAATTGACTTGATCCATTCATTATTTATAAGTCATTATTATACATAAGAAAAAACATTCATAATAGAAACATCCATTCAATCATGAAATGATGATAGAACAGATATTAAAATAGTTTCCAATTAGAAAAACAAATAGTTTATAGACAAGAAAAAATAGTATATCAGTAGTATAACAATAAATGAGAATATACAAGTAAGAACAGTCGAATATATGTGAATACATTAAATTACAGAACATTTAAGTATCATACAATGAATACCTCTATCAATCAATCAATCAATCAATCAATTGTGAGATAATTGATTGTTGTTTCATTCCCATAGTAATCACTTATTGTTCTCATTCTATTCTGCTTTTTGATTGATGGATGATATATACTACTTATATCTGTTGATATCAGTAGTACATTTCCGCACACACACATACACATTGCAGTATGAACAGTAGTAGTCAGTAAATTTATTTAGCATCAAAATGTGATTCATATACATATTTGTACAATAAAATGTATTTATCATAATGATTATTATCATAATAATAGTTCAAAGAATGTATTACGATAAGAAATAGAATAAGATATGAAAATGATGAATAACAACTGGAGAAGATTGTTCAGAACAGAGTTGGATGGAGAATGTTGATAGGCGGCGGTCTATCCGCCTCCATCACGAAGAGCAACAGGCGTAATGAAGTAAGTAAGGTCGTCATCATCGTGATCATCATCACTGTATTGTTTCATTCTATTCTATTTATCATAAATATTCTTCTATTAATTTATTATAATATTTAATGAATAATAAATTATTTGTATAATTTATTAATTGATTTTGTTTAAATTTTTTTAAATAATATTTGCCAAATTTGTTTATTCTTATCAATAGTATAAAGAGTGAATTGAAATTTTGGTAAAATATTCGATAATATCCTAAATGAAATAAACAAATTCAATAATAATAATAATAATAATAATAATAATAATAATAATAATAATAATGGTAATGATAATAATAATAGTAATAGTAATAATAATGGTAATAATAATAGTAATAATAATATTAACATTATTACTAGTAACAGTAGTATTAATAATAGTAAAATTAGGTCAAACAAAGTGGAATGAATTAAAGAAATCAAAATAGAAAGAAAAATAAATTGAAAACAAAGAAAAGTGATGTAATTACTTTTTTTTTATTGATTTATTGATTTTCACATAGAAATATGGGTAAAATGGGAGCATCGAATACATACGCGCGCATATAAATCATTTGATTGATGTGCATATTTGGGCTGTGATACTACTCGGGTGCACAGACGGTAGCAAGTGATTTTTATTTTTTTGGGGGGTGTGTGTTATGTTCCGATAACTTTTGGGATCTATTTGTAGACTAATATTATGTGTATATTTTTATCGTATAATTGTTGAATAACTAAACTATCTATATTTATGTCTCTCTTATTATAAGCTTTATTTTAACCTATAAACTGTTATTATACGATTTTCCATTCTTGAATTACACCCTGTCTATTAATTACTATCTCCCACATTCACAGCCACATTTGGCTAATTCTTGTACATATGTTATTTCACAATTTATGGTAAGGCGTGTTCTATCTGGTTGGTGGTATATGAACCGAGTATGTTTGAAATACATGATTCATATTGCAGAGGCTGAGATTTGTAGTTTGGACTTGACTGGCTGGGCTACGCAGAAAGCATGACCAACCCGGATTCTAGACTGCTCGCACGTGTTCTATGAGTAATTCGTCTGATCGATAATTCAGGTTCCTCTAATTGGCGGTATCGTTACGTTATAGATTAACAGGGTACTCAGACCACAAAATATAACAGGGGGCCACACTCGTAGCCTTTGACCTAAAAGTTTCATCCACAAGGCAGTGAAACCACGTTATGAGATACAGTTCCATGATAGTAGGTGAACAATAATTGGTACATAAGCCATCTGTTCTTTCAGGATCCTGGTAGACCATGTGCACCAATGGTTTAGAATTAAAGTTTTCCAACTCCGTTAGGTGTTCACCAACCCGGGTAAAGCACCGGACATTCGCTTTTCTTCTTCTCAATTTCGTAAACAATACCGGTGCCGCGAGAACTCAGTGAGTAGGAATTCTCTGGTAGTTTTTGTATACACGTGGAACTGTGAGAGCATTTTGATAGGGAGAGCTGACGTTAGGCTATTGGAAGTGATTGGTTGCAAAGCCTGTTAACCTAGGTTTCATGATATTTGACATTTATCACCAAAACTTAATCTAAACACTTGTCTTTGTAGGTTACTTATGATAAACTAATTTTTGGTATGTTTTGTATTGATATTGATTCGTCAATTGATCAGCTTGTTAACTATTAATAAAACGGTTTAGGCAAAATTACTCATATTCGAAACTGGTTGTAGGATAGTAGGGTTTGAAATGGTTGGGCCACGTATTATGTATGTCTCAACACCAACTACCACAATACGAAATGCTGATTAGTGTTAGGGATAGTTGGAAGAAAGTTAGGTGCGGCCAAACCAAATCGTAGCATCAGTTCACAAAGTCACTAACTTCTACTCTGAGCCATGTTGGTAGATACCAACTGCTTGGTTGATGTTCTTGTGACTATCCTACCCAATGGTTGGAGACTCTAGATGACATGGCTCAGAATCAATTACAATGGCGTCGGTGTATACACTCTCTTTCTTCCCTTAAATCATGAGATTAAAATCGCTTCATATCTTTCTTTTTATGAACGTATTCTTTCTTTCTGTACTATATTCTTATACACAATCTTTCTTTTATATATTACTACCATTGAAGTGACTACTTCTATGAATTTGTTGTTCGTTATGTTGTGCTAATAATGAGTAAGGTGTTGTAAGTTGGACCGATGCATATATGTGCCTGATCCTACGTTGTAACTGACCGACTGACTTACTGTAGGATAGTACCTATACTCGATAGAATTCAATCTGGACTAATAAGGACTTGGCACATATAATATTGATCACCACTCCATGATCAATCAATTGTGAGTTGTTATACTTGATCAAAGAAACTACTACGAAAGACAACTGAAAAGGTATCAAAAAAGCATTAACTTCAACGTGTCAAGAGGTTCTGGGCCAGCTGAAGAAGAAATTAGTAAAAGACGATGGAAATGGATAGGACATACATAACGCAAATCATCAAATTGCATCACGAGACAAGCCCTAACTTGGAATCCTGAAGGGAAGCGGAAAAGAGGAAAGCCTAAGAACACATTACGTCGGATAATAGAAACAGATATGAAAAGGATGAATAGGAACTGGAAAGGATTGCCTAGGACAGGGTTGGATGGAGAATGCTGATGAGTGGCCTATGCTCCTTCACGAGGAGTATCAGGCATAAGTAAGTAAGTATACTCATATACTCATATAAACCGGGTTAACTTACTTAAAACATGATAGAACAATTGAATCAATAAAATGTATTTGTAATTCTGGTATAAATGCTTTCTCTCTATCAAATGATGATGATGATGATGATAATAATAATAAAGGTATTGTATTACATAATTTTTCTAAATCACCTTGATGAAAAAAATTCATAATAAAAGAATTTCGCTGTATCAAGTGTATTTAATCAATGTTTACATTGATCATTTAAATCAAATGATGTAATTAGAATAGAATAAAAGTAATTCATGATATTGTCTATTGAATGGATTATATAAAATACATTAGATAATTTAATGAATTCTGGAATAATTGAAATATGTTAATATAAATCTGTAGCTAATATAATATGTTTATAATAATAATTTAAATCTTTCATATTCCTATAAGAATAAACAAAAGAAGAAGAAGAAGAAGAAAAGAGAGAAAAGTGTCATTCATCAGTTGTTTATTGTACTTACTTATGTCTGTTACTATCCAGTGAAGCATAGACCGCTGAGCAGTATTCTCCAACCCATTTTTGTCTTTGGGTTTTCCTTTCTGGTTCTATCTAATTGTTAATCATTCATCTCATGTCTGTCTTTATTTTTCGGTGTAATGTGTTCTTTAGTTCTCCAATTCTCCTCCTCTGGCCTTGAGGTTTCCAAGTGAGTGTTTGTCTTGTGATGATGCAGTTTTGTGATTTCCTCAATGTGTGTCCTATCCTTTTCCAGCAATTCTTCCTGATTTCTTCCTTCGCTGAGATCTGGTTTGTTCTCTCCCATAGTAGTGGGTTGTTGCTGATAGTGTCTGGTCAACGGATCTGAAATAATTTGTGTAGACAATTGTTAATAAACACTTGTATCTTGTGGATGATGGTTTTTGTAGTTCTCCAGGTTTCCGCCCCATACAGTAGAACTGTTTTGACATTTGTATAGAAAATCCTGACCTTGGTGTTGTTTGACAGATGCATTAAGTTCCAAATGTTCCTCAATTGTAAATATGCTGTTTTACTTAGCTGATCCGCGCCTTTACATCTATATGAGATTCACCGTGATCATTAATGATGCTGTCCAGATATATAAAGGTCTTTACATCTTCTAAAGCTTCTCCGATTTATGCATTATAGCAACTATCATCCTACAATCAATTTCGATTATGCTTAAATTCTGGTTAAACACTTACTTACTTAACAGATAATGTTATTTCAATAGTAACAATCAGTATATTTCTTTGTACTGTTGTGATCATTAGAGCACATGACAGACACTAGCTGAAATGTTGATTGCTTAAATATCACTCAATGATCCACTCTCCTCTGCATTTATGTATTAGCTTTGACTTTGCCTTGTTGCACCCTTATGCAGTATAATTATGATCTTGCCTATGTATTTGCTCGCATATACTTATTCGCCTCTCTGCTTCAAATACACTCGATGTGCTTATAACTTTTTGATCTGCGCTATTCGCTAATAAATTGTAGTTGCCGCTTCTCATTGCCTTCTGATTTTAAACACCATTGAAAATTTATATTATAACGGTTATCGAGATGATTGATTAACGAAGCAAAGTCACTAACATTATGAACTGATGAACTGTTGAAACCAAAGAAACACCGGACATCTAATTCATTTTATTCTTTGACATACTTCATCAAAGTAAATTAAACCGACGATTTTCTGTTCTCATGATAATCACAATGGCATTTCAATGATGTCACACTTCATCGTTTTTAATTAGAATTTCTACTAAACCATATTGAAATAAACCAAATGACAGTTATATTTACAGTTATGTTGGTTGAAATTTTCGAAGTGACGATCTATTTAACAAGTTCAGTAGTGACTCGCCAATAACACAGAATGAGGAACTTGTCATCTCTGAAATGAATGGAAGTTGACAAATAGGGACTACTGAATTTCGACTCAATAACTTAAAAGAGTTCTGTTAATCCTGTGTTTGATTCACTGACTGATCATTAGGGTTCAGTGATGAAGAATATCAAAGTTCAATTTCTTAATTCTCAGAAGCTCACTTGTATTTAAAATGACCTAGCTGAGGATTCATCAAAGTCATTTGAAATTGCATACACTATTTTGTAATACTGATCAGTAGGAAGTAGTCTGAAAGAAACCTTACTTGACCTAAACTTCGTGCTACTTATTACTTGTCAACAAGGTATACCTTTACTCTTGAAGGAGTTGATGCTGCTTGTGAAATTCGAACCCTCGTCACTTAGTTGCATAATCTTAGATTTCAAAATCTGACCTCCTGTTAAACTGAGTTCAAATACAACAATACGCATTAACTTATACTATTGTGTTTTATATCATAATTTGTGGTCGGATACCATTAGCAACACAATTCTGTGGGAGAGAACAAACCAACTTCCAGATGAAGAAGAAATTAGGAAAAGATGATGGAAATGAATAGGGAAATGAATTACGGAAATCATCAAACTGCATCACGAGACAAGTGCTAACTTGGAATCGTGAAGGGAAGAGGAAAAGAGAAAGGCCAAAGAACACATTACGTCGGGAAATAGAATCAGATATGAAAAGAATAAATAACAACTGGAAAGAACTGGAAAGGATTGCCCGTGACAGAATTGGATGGCGAATGCTGGTGGGTGGCCTATGCTCCTTCACGAGGAGTAACCAGAGTAAGTAAGTAACTTTAGACTGTTTATGATTGATAAAAAAAGAAATCCCGAAAATAATGAAATGCAATCATTTTTCTTATAGAATCTTGTTATTCTTTCTTTGGTATTCAATTGTATAATATTAACTTTATAGAATCATTCTACTAACTTTAATAAATATATAAGTAGTATATTATTCTAAAAAGAAATAAATGAATGAAACAACTTACTATTTTAGTCATTTGACTAAATATATTACAATCTTTCATATTTAATATTCTCATTGTCTGATCAATATGATGATGTTCTAGAATAGATCCTTTATAACCATAAACAGCATCAAGTGGAGAATGAATAAGTGTCTAATAATAAATAACAATAAAGTAGCATGATTTATTCATTGAAATATAATTTACAAATTAAGAAAATGACTTTTCAAAGAAAATTCGAACTTACTCCATACAAGACTGATAGGTTCTGTGTTCGAATCTCACAAGGTGGGATCATGCAAGAGTACTACTGAGGAATCTCATACTAGGACGAAATCGTCGTACAGTGATTCTAGGTTTTCCAATAATGGTCTAACTTCAATTGACTCATGAACTCAACTATTAAAATTACTATAATATTCACAAAACCCCTCTCTGATCCTGTATATATATTAGTCAATTCAATTGTTCCTATAGAGATCGCATAATCTGGAAAGTCTTAAATGAAAGTTGAAAACATCATCCAATTTAACCAAGCAAAGGAAACTCAGATATCATGTGGACAAAAATAGTCTGTTGAGTATTCTATATGGCTCACGTATACTTCTTTGGTGTACAGCAGAAATCATTGGTATCTTTTTTTAACAAAATCCATTGATGAATATGAGCCAACAAAGACAAGTCAGATTTCAGTCCTCAATATTAACTATAAGATAACTGAAATCTGTCATAATGATGATATAGATAGTATACTCATTAAACAAACTGATGAGTATCTGAACTCAGTAGCCCAGTGTATTAAAGGATAAGAGTTTCAGGAGTAAGGAATTGAGTTCGAACCCCAGTATAAATATCTATATTACAATCCAAATAAAATCAGTTAATATATACTAAATACACTGGAACGTAGATCTTGAACTCCATTGCTGATAACAGTTCTTCTGTTTTATATAAACTCAAGATAATTTTGATAGTTGAATTCATAAGTCAATTGAAGTTAGACCACTATGGAAAACTTGAAAGCGCTGGACGTCTGTTTCGTCCTATTGTAGAACTCTTCAGCAGTGCGCACCCACGATCCAATGCTTCCAGGTTTCCCATGATGGTCTAGCTTCAATCGATTCATGATCTGAACTCCAAAAATTACTATATCTACAAAAACCCCTTCTGATATTGAAAGTAGAGACAAGATGTTGTTGTTGATACTGATGATGATGTACATAATTGTCAGGATTAATTTAACTTTAGGTAAGAATAATGAGGCATCCATGTAACATCCATCTTACTCTTGAATAGTTCAGTTCTTTTTTCCTACATATATAGGAAAATATTCTTTCTTAGAAACAGTTTCCTATTTACAAATTTTAATAAAAATCAGTATTAGAGAAAAAAAGTTGACGAGACTATAATTTATGGATGAACCAATCCGGTATAAGATAACAGGTCATTTAATTTGGCGCGAAATTCATTCATCCATTTGTCTAAATAGAGTTTTGGCAATATAGCTGATGTCAGTTCGTGATGAATACTCGCCCCCCCCCGAAATCTAACTTCTAACTTTAACCGTCAACTGTAAGTCTTAATTCTAATTCTTCACATTGGTTTCTAACCATCATTTGGTCTTAGTTACTAGGTGAACACTTTCAAGGTTAGTTTAGCGTTGCTCTGGATTGGAAGAAGAATAAGCTAAAAAGAAATTAATGAAATTAATGAATTCACAATGTTCTAGTACAATCATTGTTCTTGTTTTATTTAATGAAGAATAATAACAATAATCTTATCTATTCCTATAAGAAAATGTTATGCTAGGAATTCTCTGTTAGTACATGTCCACAATATCATACTGGTAGTTCTTGTGTAAAGTGATGATCTATGAAAAGACAACTAAGTTAATATAGTTGAAAGGTTAATTAGTAATAGTTTACATTGTATTATTAAATGATTGTTTGAATAGATGAAACAAATGAAATGAATTTTATTGAGTGTGCAAACAAAAAGTGGGATATTTAATTTAGTTTCTATAAAACTTCTACATACTAATGTATTTCTAGGGAATAATATTTTTTTCGAATGAATTAAACAAAGCATAAAATAGAAATCTTGACATTCGAAGCAAAGATGGATAGTGGCTAGCAGTGAAATCCATGATGTGCCTTTCGTCTTACTTGGAACTCGTCAACTGGATGCATCTGCATCTCAGAGTTGATGTTCACTCTGGGATTCAAACTCAATATCGCTTGCTGCAAACGTCATCGCGTCATCAACTGAACTGCTAACTCCTGATGACCTCTTGCTTGTGCATTGAGGTGAAGTTTAAATTCCTTTGGTATTGTTTACTTGAATCTTCTCATTGATGTTTAGCACTGCAATTGATTAGTCTCATATTAGCATATCTGCACCCTGTGTGTATTACATCGATATTGCTTTAATTCACAAGAATTATATGCAAAGATGGATGGTGGTTAGTAGTGAAATCCAAGATGTGCGTTTCGTCCTATTTGTGACTCTTCAGTTGAATGTATCATCATCTCAGAGTTGATGTTCACTTTTAGACCCGAACCCAGTACCGTTCATTTGAAACACTTAACTATTGAATCCTGATAGGTACATCCAACTGACCCATTCTCAAATAAGATGAAACATGCATCCATGATTCTACTACTAGCCACTATTCATCTTTGCTTAGAATAGTTGTCAATCAAAGTCTATATTAAATCAATCCCCATTAGTATACACATATACTCATAAGCGATTCATCAACTATTTACTTGATAATGATTATTAAATCCTCGATGATCAATATCATGACATAATGCTCCAATAAATAATGCTAATTGTTCCATTTCATCTAAATATTGATGAATTAATGTTCTTTCAATAGTTAATATTATATAAGCCATATGTCCAACTGTAAATGCATGTGTCCAATTATGATATGTTGGTTGACGATAATTATTCTTTATTGTTAATATAAAACATGCTAATTTAGATTGACATATATTCCATTGTTTTATAAAACCAAGATTATTAAACATAATCATGGTAGCCTATAGAAACAAAATTAGAAGAAAAAACAAACGAACAATTACATCAGAATGAGTTTTGTGTAAATTTTTAGAAATTTCACTGGCTGAAATCATGAGTCAATTGAAGCTAGGCCAGCATGGAAAACCTGGAAGCACTGGATGGCCGTTTCGTCCTAATATGGGACTCCTCAACAGTGAGCATTCACGATCCCGCATCCCGCGAAATCCGAACCCAGGACCTATCAGTCTCGCGCTAGGCGCTTAACCAACTAAACCACTGAGCCGGCATTCAATGGTGTCCCATACTAGGACGAAACGGCGGTTCAGTGTTTCAAGGTTTTCCATGCTGGTCTAGTTTCAGTTGACTCATGATTTCAACCAGTGAAACAATTACAAATCATCAGTTAAGTAATGAGGATCATATATTAAACATTGTAATGCAGTAACTAATATAATTGAATAGCATAATGGAACATATGGAACTCAAAACAACTATCTACAAGCTAATATCAAAGTCACAGTATTCAATACAAACAGTTCTAATGTACAGAGTTGAAACTTGAAGAATTACTACTACAACCATCTTTAAGAAAGTACAAGTATTTCTAAATAGTTGTATATGCAAAATACTCAACATCCAACATTGGCCGGATACAATCAGCAACAGCCTACTGTGAGAGAGAACAAACCAGCTTCTAGCTGAGCAGGAAATTAGGAAAAGGAAAAGGAAAGGACATAAATTGTGGAAATCACTAAACTGCATCACGAGGCAAGCTTCAACTTGGAATCGTGAAGGGAAACGAAAAAGTGAAAGATCAAAGAACATATTACGTCGGGAAATAGAAGCAGGTATGAAAAGTATGAATAGAAACTGGAAGAAGCTCGAAAGGATTGGTTGAGATAGAGTTCGATGGAGAGTGTTGGTGGGCGGCCTATGCTCCTACACGAGGAGTGACAGGCTTAAGTAAGTAAAATGCTAAATTAAAATTGGGTATTTCATGAAATCAATTTTACTGAATGAATCGAAACAATACATTATTGATAACATTTTGATTAATACAATCAATTGTGTTTTTTTTCATTGACTTTTCATTAGCTATACGTTTGAAGGGATTACAGGTGCACTTAATCTGAGAACGGAACAAATACTCTGTGACACAATAACCAATAAGCTAACTATTCTGACGCGTTCCAGCCCCGTTAACGATAGAGAAGGAATTTCAAGTTTGGGAAAGGGAAATATATTGTACAAGCAGCCAGAAGCACGAGAAATAAAAGCAGGCGCAAATTAAACGTATATATACAATATAAAATTGTACTTGGGAAGTGTTACAAAATAGCATATTAAAATATACAACGAACTAATAGCATTTAAGATCCTCTCAAGTGGAAAATATGATATAAGCGCTTTCGACGCGAAAACAAGAAATCCAAATTTTTAAAATAGAATTGCAGAAATAAGGTATTTATCAGGTGAGTTCTGTGGATCTAGCGTCCCTAACAATTAATGAGTTTAAATAGTGTGAAATTTTGATAAATAATAACAAGTAAGTTGCTTTCATCTGGTTAGCGTCTTTTTAGCAAAAATGAACAAAAATTGAATATAACTGGAAAGTAAGGCCTAGAACACAGTGGGTTGGAGATCGCTGGTCAGTGGCCTATCCTCCATTAGGAGTAACAGGTGTATGTAAGTAAGTAAGTTGTTTTCATCATATATTGATCGATCGATGTACCTGTAAATACTAGGGACTGCTGAATGATTATTTCGCTCTAATATGGGACTCATAATAAATTACACGAAAGTACTGATTTCAATCTTTGAAGGACTTGTGAGGAGTATTTCTGAAGAGTTCCATTTTTGGACGAAATATCACTCAGAAACTAATATAATCTTCAAATCAAGTACAAATTTTATAAAACTCGATTAACTAAATGATTAACATGCTTAGAACTAAAAATTCAGTTATCTGTTATAGAACAATAAATTATTTGGACAGATATTCAAGGGAGTTTTTATAACAGCTTAATTTTAAAGTGTCGGAGAAACATATATACTACTTATTACAACGAGGATATTTTAAGAATCACTTACTTACATCTTTTACTCCTCATGGAGGAGCATAGGCCTCCGGTCTTAAGCCTGGGTAAAGGAGGAGGGTTGTGCATGGGGTTAGCGACCTCATCTTATAGAAAAATAACTCGCTAAGAAACACTAACCAGAAAAAAATAGTTTAAACCATTTAAACTCTGCCCTAGGAGTTAGGTTTTCATTTAGAAGAGTTATGACACCTCATGGTGAAAGCCGAGTTCCTTCGGAAGTCACAAGGAAGATGCCACTCCTACCAACCAGATCAACAATTTTTATAGGTACGTGGAATGTCCGGACAATGTGGGAGATCGGGAAGATCAGTCAAATAGCAACAGAAATGAAGAGATACAAATTGGCAGCACTGGGAATCAGTGAGACCCATTGGACCATTTTAAGAATAGGGGTGAGTGAAAATTTTTTAAGTTGAACCTTCTAATTATTTTTTTTGTTGCTTTGTGATAGTGTAAAATTAATGAACCAAGTAATCCTGTCAATTATTTATTGTTTTCTGGGAAACATAATCAGCGTAGATTAACTTCCTTATGGAAGGAGTGGTTACTTGAATTAATTATTTTAGTTAGCGTCATTTTAGCGAGTTAGTTTTCTACGGGTTGAGGTCGCTAACCCCATGCTCAACCCTCCTCCTTTTTTCGGGCTTTGGATCGTCAGTAGCCCCAGAGGGGCTTTAGACGGAGTTTCATAATAATAGTTGTAATAATAATATTGATTATTAATTGGATAGAGGGAAATAATCAATATTGGACTTACTACAGTAGAATCCCTATCATTAACACTTCTTGAAAGAAAAGATATTTCATTGAAATTCGGATGTATTTGAGTTAAACTATGAATTTTATGATCAATCAATTGAGCAATTTCATTATCCGAGATCTGATATAACAAAGAAAAAATGTATTGTCAAAATAGAAATATGTGAATTCATATGTACATATGTATATTACAACCATTGAAGTAACTACTTCTATGTATCCGATGTTCACCTTTCTATGCTAATGAGCTATGACAACTTGTATCGATGCATATATGTGCCTGGTCCTACGTTGTAACTGACTCACTGACTGAATTATAAGGATTTCGTTCTGCTACTACCAGTCACTGTACATGATTCCTTTCAGTCGAATGTACTTTCAGTAACTCATTTTATGAAGATATCAAGTCATTGTGTTGTTGAAGTAGATTTCTATGATATTAAAAATATTGACTATATATCAATGACATGTATTATGACTAAGGTGTAGAGACTTAAGGTTTTCTCATGTAATCAATCCTTACATTTTAACTTAACAGATTATTGAATATTATATCATTGGCTGCTGGATCATCTTTCTTGTGCATAGTAATTCAGATGAGAGAGTCTAAGTATACGTTATTTGGTAAATTACGAACATTCAGTTCAATTGAGGTTGAACATTAGAGTCTAATGATTATCAATAAAAGTTTAACTATGCTGTCAATCAGAGTGTAGTGTCGGTTGTTATATTGAGCCTATATACCTTATTCCAGCTTCTGGACCAGCCAATTTATCCATTCTTCCTCAGTTATATTTTGACCTTGTTCATTACTCACTTATCAACCTTGACGGTTTTTATATGAGCGTATATGTGTGTACATCTTATCCTACTCATCACATGTCTGTAGTATATTTATGAATGACTAGAAGTATTGATGAAGTTGGCCTTCCACTGTTCGTCCTTTCGATTCGCTTTGCTCTCTCTTCTTCACTTCATTCGCTGCGATTCTCTAATTGTCTGTTTCAATCAACGAGTGTACAAAATATACGTATTCAAACATTCATTCTTTTATTTGACTTATTTAATTCTGTTATTCACTAATGCGAATTAAGTTGAGGATAGCCAGGATGTATATGCTTGGACAATCATCATTCATATGATCTAACTGGAGTCAGATGCCGGGCCATTAAAGTGATGAATCCGTCAACAACATCATCTGATCTAATTGACATCAAAATGAAGGACCCCACTAAAAGAATTTAGAGCTTCAGAATAACCTGTCACCAATTTTATCTACTACTAATAACAGAATTGTGCCATGATAAGTCTGTTATGCGTGAAAATATTCTAGAATGATGAAGGGATCTATTTGAATCTAAATTTTAGTTGAAAGTATAAGTTGACGTTCACTCCATGACTCAATAGTTAAGTGAATAAGGTGATTTTTCAAGCAAACGATAATGGGCTCGAGTCCCAGAGTGAATATCAACTCTAAGGTGCAGGTGCATCCAGCTGACGAGTTCCAAATAAGAAAAAACGCGCATCCTGAATTCTACTATCCATCTTTGCCTGTCTAACTTCAGCTTATTGAAATGATCCATAATAAAAAACATTGAAATAATAAGGTTGAAATCTCAGTAAACACACAAGTCAGAAATAAATATATATATGAACATTTTAATAAGAATATATATATATATAGTTCTTACTTTCATATGATAGGCAATATTCTGATAAAGATCCGTGAATCATGGGTATCATTCATATAGGATTTGAAAACGATATCATCAACGGTATCAGATATTTGTAGCATAATATGATTAATCAACTGAAATTATAAATATGAGTAACTGAATTTTCAGTAAGACATTTCTCAAAGGAATAGATAGTTTACAATCGATCGATCACTGTGTGGTGATCAATGTGTTGTGTTTCAGATCCTTAGTGCAGATTGAATCCTATCAAACAAGTTTCAATGTGGCCACTAGTCTAGGTGACTCGACATTCCGTGCACTATGTTGAGATAAGGTGGTGATTGGAGGTGGTCGACAGGAAACCCTGAACCTAGCTTTCGTGCTATTTGGCACTCATCAGCAAGGTGTACCTGCAATCTTGAGGGAACTGGTGCTCCGTGACGGATTCGATCCCGTGTCACCCAGCCTCACAGTCAGAGACATTACCACTTGGCTATCCGGGCCGCAACCGACCTTCTGTAGGACTGAGATGTAATCGCAATTGATTGATCACTGGGTGGTGATCAGTGTTATGTGTGTCAGGTCTACGGTAACGGATCATATACTGATATTCTCTTCTTAATTAAAAACAAAATGTACATTAAGTGTATGTCTATTTTAAAAATAGACACTGAAAATAAATCACATTTTTTCTTTAATGGCGTCTAGACGTAATTTATTTATTTAAATACATAAACATTCGTACAAAAAGGCACCAAATACATATGCGCCACATAAATCATTGGATTTGTGTGTGGGCTTTCATGCTTCTCGGGTGCCCAGACCGAAACAGATGGTTTTCTTAGGGGACCACACCCGGAGCCTTCAACCTAAAGGTCTGATCCACAAGGTAGTGGAGCAAGATAAGGAGATCCGATGCCATGGTAACCGGTGGCCAACAATTTGTTCATACACCATCTGTTTCTTGAGGATCCTGGAGCTAATGTGCAGGGTTTTCCCACTCTCCTAGATAGATCTTCCGTATCCATCAATCTGGTTAAATCGTTGAATATTCGCTTTACGTCTTCCTCTCAATTCCATCATCATTAACAAAAACAACGGAATTTATTCAATGTTAAATATTTTCTACTTAGGCACATTTTTTTATTTTCTAACGATAAATAAATTCATGAAAAATGATAGATTGTTTACTTTTAGAAGAAGCAACAAAAAAAAACATGTATCCATCTAAATAGGAAAAAAAGGGAATTTTTTTCTTTTTGAAAAGATGAAAAAAAGTTACATTAATTTCACATGAAGTTGTCCATTTCAATATTGGGGGAGGCGTGGGTGGTGGTGTTGATGATGGTGGTGATGGAAATGGAAGGAGGGGGGAAGGAAATTAACACATATATTCTAAAAAAATTAACCATTTCCTGAGGTCATTATTTAAATAGACAACAACTTGAGAAAATGAAATAGTTAGGTCAATATATTTCAACAATAAAATGATGTATATTCTTGTTGTCAAATGATAGATTAATATCAGTAGAGGTTTTGTGGATATATTATAGTAATTATAATAGTTGAGATCATAAGTCAATTAAAACTAGACCATCATGGAAAACCTGAAAGCACTGGATGGCCGTTTCATCCTATTGCTAGACTCCTCACAGCAATGCGTATTCACGATCTCGCTCGTGCGATTCAAAACCAGGGCCTCACACCCCTGAAGAGTCTCACAAGAGGACGAAACATTCGTCCAGTGTTTCCAGATTTTCAATGGTAGTCTAACATCAATCCATTCATGATCTCAATCAAAAATGAAATCAGATGAATTCATGCTATTTTGCTAGAATCTACAGAAAAAAAAAGAATCAAACCATTTAAATCATTAAAGAGAATCAATTCAGTTTACTTGTGGCATTATAACCATTAAGAAATCAGTAATATAATTTGATAATAAATATTTCTCATATTTAGAAAATCGTTGATCATTGTTCAATTTATGAAATTCTATTAAGGTTAGATGATTTGGATCATTATTATGGAAGAACAAATGGATCAAATATACACTAAAATAAACAAATAAAAAAACAAACATTAAAAACATATCAGTATTATGTAATTGACATTTGATGGAGAGACTATCATTTATGAATGACCTTCGAGCAACACTAGACTGACTTTGAGTGTCACAATTGATTGATCACTGTGTGGTGATCAATGTCATGTGTGTCAAGTTCTTACTTAGTGCAGATCGAATGCTATTGACCGTGTCGCAATGTTGCCACCAGTCTAGGTGACTCGACACTGCGTGCCCTATACATTGAGATTAGATGGCTCGGATAGCTCACTAGCAACGTTTCTAACTATGAATTTTGCGCCAAAATCCGAAACCTGTCATTTTATACAGCTGATTGATTTGTCTATAAATCAATCACTCTTTGTTCTCGTTCTCTTTTCTTTGATCATTTTAACGGTCTGCCACCAGGCATTTCACCATAGATACTACTTAAATTTGTTGACATCAGTAGAATATACTACAGTAAAGTATATTTTATTCAAATAATTCATTGATCCTATACTAGTTGTTACTCTTAATAAAACATAAAAGTTAGTGAAGATATTGATGTTTGTACTGATTGTTGATATGAAAAGTTTTTATTTGGTGGATGAATTATTGAATGGTTTACTAAGATGAATTCCGTATGAATACATGATATCATTTGTATGAAGTAAATCTATAGAACAGGTTCTCTACTCCTTGTTGAGGAGCATCGGCCGACAACCAGCACTCTCCATCCAACCCTGTCCTAAGCAATCCTTTCCAGTCCTTCCCAGTTACTATGCATCCTTCTCATATCTGCTCCGATTCCCAACGTAGTACGTTCTTGTGCCTTCCTCTTTTCCGCTTCCCTTCAGGATTCCAAGTTAGGGCTTGCCTCGTGATGCAATTTGATGATTTGTGTAATGTATGTCCTATCCATTTCCATCGTCTTTTCCTAATTTCTTCCTCAGTTAATAGTTGGTATGTTCCCTCCCACAATAGGTTGTTGCTGATGATATCCGGTCAACGTACATTAGGTATCTTGAGTAGACAACTATTTATAAATACTTGTACATTTTTGATGATGGTTGTAGTAGTTGTTATCCAAGTTTCAGCTACATACATTAGAAATATCTTGACGTTCTTATTGAAGATTCTCCTTTTGATACTGGCTTGCAGCCAGTTGTTTTAAGTTACATATGTCCTTCAACTGTTGGAATGCTGACTTTGCTTTACCGATCCTCGTCTATGAGTTTGCAACGGATTCTCCTTTTTCATCAATGATGCTCTCAAAGAGTTACAGCTGGTCCAAAGTCCGGGTAAAGAAACAGGGTTGGGCATGTGGTCGACAATCCTATCCCATAGAAAAAAATCTTGTCAAAAGTACGCCAACCAAATTAAACAAATATTTAACGAACTCGGTATTTATTTCTCATAGTTCGCAAGTGGGGTGAAAATATAATTTGTTTTCAGTCAATATTTTGATTTACAACATAGTGTAATAATCATATCATAGCAAGAGGAACATAGGTCATACAGTTGCTCACTAGAACCCATGAATTATATTTCAATACTAGTCATCAAGCAATCAAACTCCACCTGGAGTCCCTCCGGGGGCCACTGCCGGTCCCAAGCTCGGATAAAGGAGGAAGGTTGGGTATGGGGTTAGCGACCCGATCCCGTAGAAAACTAACTCGCTAAAAAAACACTAACCAGAAAAAATTATTCATCAATCAATAAACTGAACTATAAACTATGAATTGTAGTATTTTGACTGATAAAAATCCTTAAAGGTTTTAGTGTGTCTTCGATTTTGAGTTATAGATCTATGCTAATAATAGTCCATTCTGGTTTTCAAGGGATTTTCGGTTAATACCAGTCGATGACAAACGATCCTTTTATATTTTGGACGTTTTTATTCTATGAATGTTGAATTCATTGAATATATATTGAATTCGTTTCTTATCAATATCATTAATAGCTCTAAATATATATAGTTTCGAATCCCGTGGGGCAGGATCGTGGATGCAAACTGTTGAGGAGTTCCATACTAGGACAAAACAACCGTCCAGTGTTTTCACGTTTTTTACATGATAGTCTGGCTTTAATTAACTCTTGAATTCAACTATTAAAATCACTATAATATCCATTATATTATATCATCAGTTCATATTGTTTAATCTTATATCAAGTAAGTATTATTTTTGATGGAGTTTTGTTCTTTGAGCTGGATGGTTTGGTCGTCGAACTTTCATCGTTCTTCTGAACGATATCATCAGGACGAACTTTACTTTTATCCGAAGTCTTTGCTGATGATGTCTTTCAGAAGATCGATGAAAGTTCCACGACAAAACCATCCAGCTCAAAGAACAAAACTCCATCAAAATTATCCACCTTAGCTACAAATCTTCTTCACCAACTCAAGTAAGTATTATCAAAATTAGAACTTACTTTAAATCAAGTTGATTAATAGATTTAATGATAGAATCTATTGAATCTATTGCCAAAGTTCTTAGATCAATGTTGATCTCTATTAATAAATAAATAAATAAATAAAAAGGAATGATCCAAAATGAAATGAACTTGAATTCAGGTTATATCATGTTACTACTATTCAATAGAACTAATATATAAAGTGATTCATTCATTGGATCCAATATAGAATTTCTCATTCAGTATACAATAATAAATTGATAGAACAAATGATTATGAGTTCTACCATATGCTCATTAGTGACTAACTTCGTGAAGGAATTCTTGGAGTGCTAGTGAGAAGCTATGTCCAGTAAAGCTAATCCATTTCAGATAGAGACAATTATATACGTCAGACAATCGAAGATGATCATGAGATTTCGTGGATTGGTTGAAGTTAGACATTAACATCGTCGGTCAAGCGTTCACGCGCGAGACCGATAGGTTCTGGGTTTGAATCTACCGTAAGGGATCGTAGATGTGCACTGTTGAGGAGTCCCATACTCGAACGAAACAGCTATTCAATGCTTCCAAGTTTTCAATGGTGATCTAACATCAATCGATTTATGATCTCGATCAAAAACTCTAGAATTGTAGTATTAGTCGAATGAATGAGTGTCATTTTAGTAAGAGTTTATAATCTACTATTATTGGGTATTAAGTAATGTAATTGATCCAACTCTGTTGTTATATGTTTACATTCCGAGTGGATTAGATTCATTCAAAGTAGTGGAATCCAAATATTGTCCAATCATAAACTAAATATAATAAAGGTCAATTTAATCTGAATTTTTATAATTTTAAATTCACTTTTAAGAAAACTTATAATTTTCATGATTTTTAATGAATATCGAGTCATGGTCCAAGCCGAATAGAACTTCTATGAGAATTAATAGCCAAATGTTATAACATCATCATACATATCACCACCCAACAGTCGTAGTGTTTCTTGACATCAGGGCTGCCTTCAAGTCGTTGGAAAGGACTGTTCTCTGGGATTGTCTATTGAAGAAGGGTGTGGCTGAGAAGTTTATTAACATCCTAAAAGCCCGATATACAAACAACTCAGACAGAGTGAGGGCATACAACCACCTCTCTCCATTGTTCCATTCGAGCAGTGGGGTTAGGCAGGGTTGCCCAATCTCACCATTCCTCTTCAACTTTGCCATCGATGACATTCTGGAAACAGCTCTGGTGAATGTAAGTAATGGTGGTGTGGATCTGTTGCCTGGAGAAAGACTTCTCGACCTTGAGTATGCGGACGATATTGTCTTACTGTGCGATAATGCCCAAGGCATGCAATCCGCACTTAATCAGTTGGCAATCAGTGTCCGTAGGTATGGTATGTGCTTTGCACCTTCGAAGTGCAAAGTACTTCTACAAGACTGGCAGGATTCTAATCCTGTACTCACCCTGGATGGTGATCAGATAGAAGTAGTCGAGAAGTTCGTGTATCTGGGTAGCTGCATAAGTGCTGGTGGGGGTGTGAGTGATGAGATCAATGCACGTATAGTGAAAGCCAGAGAGGCTTATGCCAATCTGGGCCACCTTTGGCGCCTTCGTGATGTCAGTCTGGATGTAAAAGGTCGGATCTACAACGCGTCGGTGAGAGCAGTTTTGCTCTATGCTTGTGAAACCTGGCCTCTCCGAGTTGAGGACGTTAGACGACTCTCTGTGTTCGATCATCGCTGTCTCCGAAGGATTGCTGACATTCAGTGGCAACACCATGTCAGTAATGCAGAGGTTCGGCATCGTGTGTTCGGGCCCAAAGATGATAATTCAGTTGGTGTCACCATCTTGAAACTCCGACTTCGGTGGCTTGGACATGTTCTACGAATGTCGTCCCAGAGAATTCCACGTTGTGCATTATTTGCCGACTCTGGGACTGGTTGGAGAAAGCGGAGAGGTGGTCAGTGTATGACATGGTGTCGTGGTATGAAAGTAAGCTGCAAAGGACTGGCTTGTGTTGGTCCTTCACGACTCCCTGGTTGGGGTCTGAGAGATGGTGCTACACAGTGGCTAGAGACGTTATCAGATATGACTCAGAATAGAAGTCAGTGGGGATCCTGCTGTAACCTTCTTTTACTTTCTTCATTAAAAAAATGTTTGTATCTTCCTTAACTGAAAGATTTCTTCTGGTTGTACCTTTCCGTTTCCCTCATTACTATCATTATTACTACACTACGTTACACTAATCTGTTCGTTATTGTTTTTTTTCTTCTTCGAATTTTCATTGTTTTGTGTGGTGCATATATATTTGGTGCCCTCTTGTACCAGTATTTATGTGTTCAAATAAATAATAAATAATAATAATAATAAATAGTTATGAATTATGAAGCGAAGATAAAACTTCCAAGTGATTCAATAATGTGATGGGCATTAACACCATGAAACGACAAAAGTTAGATATTGATTAAAAATCAAGAAGTAATGAGCAACTGCTTCGTCCTAGTATAAGATTCTTCAGTAGTAAATATTCATGAACTCACTACAGATGATTGAACCCAGGAAATGTGATCTCTATGTAGACACTTAACCTTTATACCATTGAGCTTAAATACAATCAGTTCATGATATTCCATTTTCCTGTGGGATTAATTAAAGGAAACACTTCACAACTAAAAATCATAACTATATTACCATTATCATTGAAAATATTAAGAATTATTGAGAAAACTCGAAAGCATATAAGACAGACACAAGATTTTTAAGCACAGATGGATAATGGGTAGTAGTGGAATCCTGTTTGACGTGCGTTTCGTCCTATTTAGGAGTCGTCAGCTGGATTTACCTGCATATCAGAGTTGATGTTCACTCTGGGACTCGAAATCAGAACCGTTCGATTCGAATGCCATCACGTTAACCACTTAGCTACTGAGTGATGATAACCATTTGCTTGTGCAATGAAGCGAAGTCTAAATTCACTTGGTATTCTTTGAAACGAACGGCACTGGGTTAAAATCGCGGAGTGAATATCAACTCTGAGATACAGATACATCCAACTGACGAGTTCCAAGTAGGACGAAACGTACATACTGGATCCAACTGCTTGCCACAGTCCATCTATGCTTTAAAAGATTGTGACTTAAGACTATATCGAGGCGATTCGCCCAGTATGTACATATGCTAATAAGAGACTGATCAATTGCAGTCCTAAATAACAATGGGAAGATACCAGTAAAAAAAACAACACCAAGTGACTTTATATAAGACAGACAATAATTCATTGTAATTCAACACAAAACCAAAGCAAAATAAACTCAAATCAGCTGGTCAAAATTAAACAGAAGACTTTAGAGTAACTCAGAAATAAAAAGAACATACACTATTCTAGATGAAAAGATCTTCATCACAATTATTATATAAATAAATCATTCCGTTGAATCTGACACTATCAAAATCATCTACCTCAGCAAGAAATATTTTGATTATCTTTATGTGAATTCCTAAATTCAATCGTTGATTGGAAAATGAAGCATGACCAAATGATACTCAATTGGAGAAGGTGAATAAGCCAACTCAATTTAATCTATCTATAATCAAGCCAAAGAAAATGAATAAATTGTAGACACGTAATGAATAAGGTAAACAATGAACAGTCAAGATTGATCAACGAATAAGGTCAAAATATGATTCAAGAAGAATCAATAAATTGACTTATTAGAACGTTATAATAAACTACTTGAATATAACACATAGCAACTAATGTTTATGTGTTATTTTTCTTCATCATTTTCTTTATCAAAATGGGCTTAGTAACTATTTGAATTGTATTACTAAGGTTAAATAAAACACTTGAATCAATTTATTGATCTACTTTAATATTCATTATCAATATTGTTTTCTTTTTCCTGTTTTTTTTCCTTCGAAATACACAGTCGCATTTCCGTTTTGGTTGCTTGGTATTGAAAAATTACTTTTCATAATCAATATTCATAAGAGAATCATCATTGAACAAAGTGTAAACTTTGAATATAAATATTCTCAGAAGGGGTTTTGTGGAGACTGTAGTAATTTCAATAGTTGAGATCATGAGTCAATTGAAGCGAGGTGGGGTCGTGGATGCGCACTGATGAGGAGTCCCACAATAGAACGAAAAGGCCGTTGCTCTGCTTGTCAGAAGGAATACTAGCCATGTGACTTCCAAAGGAAATCAGCTTTCATCATCAGGCATCATAACTATTCTAAATAAAGACCTTCTAACTCAGAGGATATAATTTAAATGGTTCTAATTAATTTTACTGGTTAATTTTTTTTTTGGTGAGTTAGTTTTCTACGGGATGGAGTCGTTAACTCCATGCCCTACCCTCCTTCTTTATCCAGGCTTGAGACAGGCATTAGCTCCAAGGGGGACTATCTGTTCCTTATATTGAAATAATTTTCCAGTGTTGCTATGTTGTTTTCTCTTGTTTTATAATTGATATTACAGTTTATTCTTAATATCAATTTATACATTCTATTTGTTATAATCAGTATTAGTATAGGTTTACAAAAACTGTTGAGTTTTTGGTGTATATCAGATGTTAATATTGATTAAACAACTATTGAAAACCAAGAGTTAGGATAAAGCTATTTCATCAGAGTATGGGATCAGTTAGCAGTGTATATTCACGACTATGCCATAAATTTAACTCATGATATTCAGACATCTTAACGAGATATATTAAAGTTCAAAGAATTGTGATCGAAACCTGCATTCACGTTCATAACTTCAGTTCATTGAACTTATCATGTAAATCGATCACTGATATTATTCAATCAATATCCACTTGATAAATATTCATTAATAACAAACATGGATAATTAATACTGGAAGTAATTCTCCTTGATCTAAAAATAACAAAGGATTACTAAATTGTCATTGAATCATTCAATAGATTTGATGTCACTTCAAAGCGATTCAACAAACATGATATGCATGGAAATTTCAGTCATGATGATGATGAATCTATAATTAGGAAGATCTTACTTACCTTACTTACTTACGCCTGTTACTCCCAATGGAGTATAGGCTGTCTAACAACATTTTCCAACACACTCTGTCCTCAGCCTTCCTTTCCAGTTCTATCCATTTCTTCTTCAATCTTCTCATGTTCATCTCCATTTCTTGGTGTAATGTGTTCATTGATCTTCCTCTTCTCCTTCTTTGACCTTGAGGATTCTATGTGAGGGGTTGCCTTGTAATGACGCAGTTGGTTGCTTTCCTCAATATGTGTTCTATCCACTTCCAGCAATTCTTCCTGATTTCCTCCTTCACTGGAATCTGATTTGTTCTCTCCCATAGTAGTAGGTTGTTTCTGATAGTGTCTGGGTAAACGGATTCGAAGTATTTTGCGTAGCCAATTATTAATGAATGAATTCAAGATAACTCTCAACAACAGGTTCCAAGCCTTACAAGATCTACTGAAAGAAGAAGAAACTAGTATGGAGGACAACTGGAAAGGCATCAAGGAAGCATTAACTTCACCGTGTCAAGAGGTTCTGGGTCTAAAGAAGCACCATCATAAGGAGTGGATCTCTATAGAAACACTGGACAAGATCAAAGAAAGGAAGAACAAGAAGGCAGCAATAAACAACAGCCGAACACGAGCAGAGAAAGTCCAAGCACAAGCTGAATACATAGAAGCAAACAAACAAGTGAAGAGGAGCATTAGAGCCGACAAGAAGAAATACGTGGAAGAACTAGCAACGACGGCAGAAAAAGCTGCTAGGGAAGGAAATATGAAATAGCTTCACGATACAACGAAGAAACTAGCAGAGAAATACAGTAAACCAGAGAGACCGGTCAAAGACAAAGAAGGCAAGCCAATCACCGAAATTCAACAACAGCGGAACAGATGAGTAGAATACTTTGAGGAACTCCTGAATAGGCCGGCTCCAATGAATCCACCGGACATCGAAGCAGCACACACAGATCTTCCTATAGACGTCAACCCACCAACGAAGGAAGAAATCAGAATGGCCGTCAGACAAATCAAAACGGGAAAGCAGTGGGTCCGGACAACATACCAGCTGAAGCACTGAAGTCAGACATCGAAGCAACTACAAACATGCTTTATCTTCTATTCAAAAAGATTTGGGAGGAGGAACAAGTGCCGATGGACTGGAAAGAAGGACACCTCGTCAAGATTCCAAAGAAAGGAGATCTGAGCAAATGTGAAAACTACAGAGGCATTACACTGCTGTCAATACCAGGGAAGGTCTTCAACAGAGTGTTGCTGAACCGGATGAAAGATGCAGTAGACGCCCAACTTCGAGATCAACAAGCTGGATTCCGTAAGGATCGATCATGCACAGACCAAATTGCAACACTACGGATCATCGTCGAACAATCAGTTGAGTGGAACTCATCACTATACATCAACTTCATTGATTATGAAAAGGCATTTGACAGTGTGGATAGGAGAACGTTATGGAAACTTCTTCGACACTACGAAGTTCCTGAGAAGATTGTCAACGTTATACGGAACTCATACGACGGACTACAGTGCAAAGTCGTGCATGGAAGACAGCTGACAGGTGCATTCCAAGTAAGGACCGAAGTGAGACAAGGCTGTCTACTCTTTCCCTTCCTCTTTCTTCTGGTGGTCGACTGGATTATGAAGACCTCGACATCTGAAGGTAAACACGGAATTCAATGGACAGCTCGAAATCAATTAGACGATTTGGACTTCGCAGATGACCTAGCCCTCCTATCACGTACACACGAACAGATGCAGATGAAGACAGCCAGTGTAGCAGCAGTCTCTGCATCAGTAAACCTCAGCATACACAAAGGGAAAACCAAAGTCCTCAAATTCAAAGCGGAGAACAACAATCCAGTCACTCTTGATGGCGAAACTCTGGAAAATGTAGAGTCCTTCACATACCTAGGAAGCATCATCGATGAACAAGGAGGCTCAGATGCAGACGTAAAGGCAAGGATTGGCAAAGCAAGGAGAGCATTCCTACAGTTAAAGAACATATGGAACTCAAAACAACTTTCAACCAATATCAAAGTGAAAATCTTCAATACCAACATCAAGGCAGTTCTACTGTATTGAGCTGAAACTTGGAGAACTACAACAACCATCATCAAGAAGGTACAAGTATTTATAAATAGCTGTCTTCGCAAGATACTCAACATCCATTGGTCGGATACCATCAGCAACAGCTTTTTGTGGGAGAGAACGAGCCAGATTCAAACTGAATTGGAAATTAGGAAAAGACGATGGAAATGGATAGGACATACATTACGCAAATCGTCAAAGTGCATCACGAGGCAAGCCCTAACTTGGAATCCTGAAGGGAAGCGAAAAAGTGGACGGCCAAAGAACACATTGCGTCGGATAATAGAAGCAGATATGAAAACGATGAATTACAACTGGACGGAGCTGGAAAGGATTGCCCAGGACAGGGTTGGATGGAGTATGCTGGTGAGCGGCCTATGCTCCTTCACGAGGAGTAACAGGTGTAAGTAAGTAAGTAACTGTTAATGAACACTTCTATCCTCTGGATGATGGATTTCGTAGTTCTCCAGGTTTCCGCTCCATGCAGTAGACCAGTCTTGAAATTTTTATTGAAAATTCTGACCTTGGTGTTGGTTGTGAACATTCTAATTATTATGATGTAAGATTACTACATGGTAACATGTCAGCCGCTTCACTCGATAATGTCACTTATATGCTTAATGGTGACATACCTTCCTGTGGAACTTTAGTAAGAAATTCTCATATCTAGAGAAGACGAATTCAATTATGAGCAGAACCAGAATATATTCTATGAAACTCTTATTGATGAAGCATATAAATGGAGTATACTATATACATTTGAGACGGTGGAGATGTTTTGTAGCTTAGGTGGATGACTTTGATGGAGTTTTGTTCTCTGAGCTGGATGGTTTGGTCGTGGAGCTTTCATTGTTCTTCTGAACGACATCATCAGCATAGACTTCGGATAGAAGTAAAGTTTGTGATGATGAAAGTTCGACGACCAAACCATCCAGCTCAGAGAATTATAAACATTTGTTAAACAATAAAAATGAAATAAAACATGAATTAATATAATAGTATGAATGTTTTTTAAACGTACTAACCTGTCCAAGTTCTTGTATGGTTGAATCATTGAATAAATGTGAATTATTTTCGAGTAGAGATTTTTCAACCTAAGCACAATTAAAATAAGTGACATTAAAATGTAGGCTTATATTGTTCACCTACTCATGAGTAGTCTAAATAGTTTAAGTGTTATTATCAGAGAGGGATTTTGTGGATATTATATTAATTTCAATAGTTGAATTCATGAGTCAATTGAACCTAGACCACTATGGAAATCCTGGAAGCACTGAACGGCTATTTCATCCTATTTTGGGACTCCTCAGCAGTGCGCATACACGATTCCTCCTCGCCAGATTCTAATCCAAGACATATCGATCTCGCCCGCGAACGCTTAACCATTAGACAACTGAGCCGGCCGGCATCCAATGATGTTAATATCTAACTTCAACCAATTCACGAAATTCAGCAACACACCGAAGATTGTTTTCAGTCAGTTACTATCTCAAAACAGACACATTTGAACTCCACTGGTCACTGCTTCTCACTAGAACTCCAGGATATACCTCGTGAAGTCAGTCACTAGTGAACATATGTTGATTAATATCAGATAGGTTTTGTGGATATTATAATAATTTCAATGGTTAAAATAATGAGTGCTCGCATGGTGGTCTGGCTTCAACTGACTCATGATCTTAACCATTGAAATTACTATAATATCCACAAAATCCATCTGATATTATAATGAAGCTCAAACATTTCGGGATTTTACCACTGATTACTAATAGATATGCTAATTTTCAAATTACCCTTAGATTTCTTCAATCTTTCCCTTAGTCTCTTTGGTTCATTTTAAAACTAAACTGAACCTTTGATCGCAAGCTATAACTAGTGTGTTTGAATTGCCTGGTGAAAAAAAAGATCCACTTCCGTTTATATTTCTGCTTTTGCTGGGATCAATTATATTAGCTGTACTTATGAAGGTTATCCAGTCAGTAATCATTTGAATTATAAGGTGAATAAATATGTCTCATGTAATAACCTTTACTTCATATATTTGAACGGTTTATTGATTTAGCGGTCACTACTCATTATTATCAGTTTTTAACTAATTCATGTTATGCATTTCATATAATCTTTCATTATATGATTGTTATTTCTGTTATCTCTGAATTGGGAACATTTATTTCGTTTATTATTTCTTCTCTACTGTATGGGGCTGAAACATGGAGAACTAATACAACCGTCATCAAGAAGTTACAAGTATTTATAAATAGTTGTCTACGCAAGATACTGAATGTCCATTGGTCGGATACCATTATCAATAACTTACTATGGGAGAGAACAAACCAGCTTCTAACTGAAGAGAAAATGAGGAAAAGGCGTTAGAAGTGGATAAGACCATACATTACGGAAATCATCAAACTGAATCACGAAGCAAGCCCTAACTTGGAATGTATGACAGTCTTCAATCGAGTTCCTTCAACAATGGTTTGGGGCAGTTAGGTTATGCTTGAGTTCATCAATGAGTTGATTGTGGAGGTCTCCACGTCAGACGATGTTTTTCCTTGTGTCTAAAGTTGATGTTTGCCAGAATTAGACAACTTTCTGAGCACAGTTTCAACAGATAGTCGCCACTATCTGTTCGCTGGGCCGCAACACCGTACGATCCGCCTAAATGGTTTATTGTACCTACCCGAGCATTAAAATCACCCGTCAGTATTACTACATCAGAGCGTTTGGCTTTTTGTAGGAGGTTGAATAGATTCCCATAAAATTCACCATTAACTTGGTCAGAGCTACAACCAGTAGTAGCATAGACAGAGACAACAAAAGGCCACGGCTTGTATGCCATGTTTTCGAGTTGTCACTCTCCTGTTTAGTTGAACAGCGCACAAGTAGCTGTCTATTGGAGAGCCTGTTCTGTTCTAGAACTGAATGCTATACCTACACCAGAGAGGCCACAGGAAGTAGAAGTGGGGCCTCTGGATGTTCGAACTGTAAATCGTGCCGGTTCTTTATATTGACAAGACGAGCTCAAATGAATGACTGCACTTGGATTCTATAAGCGCCTTTCAGTGAAGCAGCATTCATTGATAGTGATAAATTCTAAAGTCCTAGCTAAATAAGCTAAATAAGACATGAGGAAAATGAACAAAAATTGAATAGAAGTGGAAAGGAAGGTCGAGGATAGAGTGTGTTGGAGATTGCTGGTCGGTTGCCTATGATCCATTGAGAGTAACAGGCGTAAGAAATGGAGAAAATTATTAAGAGGTAAAGGAGAGATTTAATTGTCAACAAAATGATCTCCGATGGCAACATAAGATGGTTGCACAGTATCATTTTTTTTATACATTTATATATAACTCTGTCCTATGAATCAGTGAACCGATTAAAGTTGGAGATTATCTTTGGAGGTTGATTATAGTTAATTGTATTACAATTCAGTAATCATTAAATATATGTAGAGTCATTTTAATAGTTGAGATCAAGAGTCAGTTGAAGCTAGACCACCATAAAAAACCTGGTAGCACTGGATGGCCGTTTCGTCCTACAATGAGACTCCTCAACCCTGCTCATCCTGCTATAATATCCACAAAGCCCCCCCTCATTTAATATATCTAGAATCATTGTAATAACAGATAATGATTAAGGTATGCAGTTATAAGTAAAGATTTATTATAGAATAAGAATAGAAATTAATAATGAAATGGTAGGAAGCCATCATTATTCAAAAGAATTAAAATCATGAGGATATAAAATTATATTAAGTAGTATACATATATTTAATTGTTGCATTCATGAGTCAAATAAATCTAGACCACTATGGAAAACCTGGAAGCACTAGACGACCGTCTCATCTTAGTATGGGAATCCTCACCAATGTGCATCCACGAACCCGCTCCACGGGATTCGAACCCAGGACACGAACGCCTAACCTCTAGACCACTGAGCTGGATTCACTGGTTTTATTGTCTAACTTCAACCAATCTACGCAATCGCGTCACCGTTCATCATTGTCTTTACTGAGATACTATCTCACAACAGACCTAGTTGAACTCCACTGGTCATTGAGGAATCCCATACTAGGACTAAATGGCTGCCCATTGTTTCCAAGTTTTCCATGATGAACTAACTTTAATTGACTCATGAATTCAACTATAAAATTTCTAATACTTTTATTGTATCCTTTCATTTTTATTAGAACTAATTTTTAAATCATAAGTTTTCTGTAACTTATAACACTGAATGGTAGTTTCCCAGGATAAGTTCCTTAGTTTTTGTTGGCGAAACTGTACCTCAGAACTTTTGAGAAGCTTAAATAACTTTGTTATTTTTAAGTTTTTTAATTGATCAATGAGTAAAGAGCGTCGAACACCCGGATGATGGGCTGCCTGTTCTTACCGTCAAGATATTTCAATAAGCTATCTGTTTCCTTGTTTATTTTAACAGATCATTATGTCAATTAATTGGCAATAACCTATTTAGGTGGGTTTATGAATAGTTTACAATTTTTCGCTTATAAAAATTTCTAATCGGAGATATCATGATGACTGGCAATATGCATCGAAAAGAATGAACACGATTCAGATGTCGATCCTTGAACTGCTAATATCTATCCTGGGAGATGAAGCCAACTGTTTTTGTGTATGACAATAAAATCTCATTCATCTTAGAATAGATAGGTATACATCTGAGTAGTTTAATATACTATCAATACTTCGATAAACAAATTTATGCAGTTTTCATAATGTTTATGTTCAAACTTGTCGACTTTCGGTTGCTTCGATGTAGCAATTACGATATAAGTTTAGATTAGAATAGATGGAATGTGACTGGAAATGAAATTCAGGAAAAGTATTTCATTTTATTTTGAACTCGTCATCTAGGTGCAACTGAATCCTAGAATTAATATTTACTCATGAAACTCGAATGTAGTATTGTTTACTTTGAATGTCATCGGGTTATTCACTTCACTATCTAGTACAGATAGACAAAGTAATTTAAATAGAATTAAATCTTATAACTTTTGCACAAGTGTGTGACATTTTGGATTTAGTAACTTGAACGAATAACACAATGGTGTTGGGAACAAACAGTATTGGGTTCTAGTTCCAGAGCGAGCATCAATTCCAGGATGCAAGTATATTCAGTTGACATGTTTAAAATAGGATGAAATGAGAGTTCAATATCTCATTGATAGTTATATTCCATCTATTATATAATAAAATCATTAATTATTTTAAGTAGGTTTTTACCATAAAGCAGTACTTCAATGAATAAGTAATGATATATATATATATATATATATATATATATATATATATATATATATATATATATATATATATATATATATATATATATATATATATATATAGTACAAAGGTTTTATCTTAACCGTAAGTCTAACAATCCCACTTTCGGCTTGATCATATCACGTCAGGATGATTTCAATAAAGGATGATCTGTAAGAAGTTATCTCTCCTCATTTGAAAAGTAAATTCGAACAAATTATGTTCATTACATAATCAAGGATTTTATTATATAATAGATGGAATATAACTATCAATGAGATATTGAACTCTCATTTCATCCTATTTTAAACATGTCAACTGAATATACTTGCATCCTGGAATTGATGCTCGCTCTGGAACTAGAACCCAATACTGTTTGTTCCCAACACCATTGTGTTATTCGTTCAAGTTACTAAATCCAAAATGTCACACACTTGTGCAAAAGTTATAAGATTTAATTCTATTTAAATTACTTTGTCTATCTGTACTAGATAGTGAAGTGAATAACCCGATGACATTCAAAGTAAACAATACTACATTCGAGTTTCATGAGTAAATATTAATACATATATACAATATAAATGCTTCAATCACCATCTAATCTCAATATATAGTACGAGTAGTGTCGAGTCACCTAGACTGGTGGCCACATCGCAACATGATCGATAGCATTCGATCCGCACTAAATAAGGACTTGACACACATCACATTGAACCCCACCCAGTGATCAATCAATTGTGAGAAATAAAGAGTATTCAATGGTGAAATCATTGATTTCTAGTTACTATAGAAGAATAGAATAGATTACATCATCAATTAATTTAAAACTATTATTATTATTATCAAATAAGATTACCCTTTTCCTTAATTCTAATAGAATGTTAAATGATCATCTATTTTCTTTTTCTAAAGGGTAATATATCTACATACTTGTCCCCTATGATAATTAATTCTAAACTGAATTCATAATAAATAATAGAAAAGTAAAATATATTTAAAGCCATTCCTTTTCACAATACAAAAAACAAAAAAAACAAAAAAATGGATGTTTTTCCTCTTTTTTCTTTTTCTCTTTTTCGTTTTTCTTTTTTTCTTTTTTCTCTTTTTTTTCATTTTAGCTTAAAATATACTTATATCTTATACATATAATAATTAGAATTGATGAATAAAACTTACCCTTAAGGTAAAACATTAACCCAGGGCAATAACAATAATCCTTAGAGTAACTTTAAATTATTGTTACTTTATTTTTGTTCCGATATTCATTACACTTGACTTTTACTTTACATATAGATAATTTTCATAGTTGACATTACGAGTTAATTAAAAGGAGATCACTGTGGAAAACTTGAAAGCACTGGATGATCGTTTTGTTCTAGTATGATTCTGTTGTGAAATAGTAACTTATTGAAAACAATAGTGGATGTGTCACTCAATTTCGTGGATTAGTTGAAGTTAAACATTAACACCGTTAGATATCAATCAGCTCAGTGGTTTAGAGGTTAGGCGTTTGTGCTCGAGACCGATATGTCCTGCATTTGAATCTTGCGAAGCAGGATCATGGATGCGTACTACTGAGGAGTTCCATACTAAGACGAAATGACCGTAAAGTGTTTTCAAGTTTTCCATAATGGTTTAGCTTCAATTGATTCATGATCTCAACTATTAAACTTACCATAATATCCACAAAACTCCCCTTCAGAAATTATGAATTGTTTATGTAACATTAGTTTCAATCTGAAATGATGTAACTTATTTTTTTATTATCTGGCGGCTCGATTGAACATTTAGCCTACGTGTTCCTCCGATCTACAGATATGATGGTTGCTGGTATTATGCAGTAAAAAGAATGTACATTATTTAAATATCGATTGACTGCACTACTAACGTCTAACTGGCGATCACTTAATACTTTATCATCAGGATCGACTAACAAGTAACAAACGGAAACTTGTTAAAATTTATTGGTGTTGAGAATTCCATATTGTACTAAAAGTATAGTATAGAATAAAGCAAATAATAATAATAATACTTGGGTCCGCTTTGAGATAATAACGCATTGAAGACAGTGGTGTACATGTGGCTCAATTTTATGAATTAGTTGAAGTTAGACATTAATACCGTTGGATACCGGCTGACCGGCTCAGTGATCTAGAGGTTAAACTCTCACGCACGACACGGATAAGTCCTGAATTTAAATCTCGCGAGGCGGGATCATGAATGCGTACTACTGAGGAGTTCCGTACTAGGAGGAAATGACTGTTCAGTGCTTTCAGGTTTTCCATAGTGATCTAACTTCAATTCACTCATGATTTCAACTATTAAATAATAAAATATTTATGTATAAATATTACCATTGATAACTTACATCTATTTTCAATTGACCTGTAAATAACACATCTGATGAAGCCTGTAAATCATTAAAATATACAATAAAAAAAGGTAAGTAAATGCAAGAAGCTTGCTATAAAGTTTTAATGCTTATATCAAAGAACTACAACGGAATTCATTCATGATTTGAAAATGTGAAAAAAAAGAAACGTTTAATCTTATTTGGAATCATCATCATGATCATCATTAGATGTGAATGTTCTAAGGCATTTGTTATTCATTAAGAAGACCTGTTGAAGATCTGTTTAGATCCATAATGAGTGTTGTCCACACTACATAGATATTTAAAGGATATTCGGTGAGATTATGATTTATGGACGAAATAATTAGATTTAAGATAACACGTCTTGGTTTTTGATGCGAAATTCACTCATCCATTTGGTCGACTAATGCCTTCCCATTGAAGTTGATGTTAGTCAGTTTGTGATGAAAAACTGTAAATCTAATTCCAAACTTTAACCATTAACTGTGAATTATAATCCATATTCGTCAAACTGTTTTACAACCTTTATTTAGCCTTATTAAGTATGTAGACACTTTCAAAGTCACTTTGGCATCGCCGAAAAGTCGTTCGTAAAATATAGTCTCATCGGATTATCTACACTTCTGAAGAAAACAGTAATGTATATACATAAAGGATTTTTCTATATCAATCAATATTTATTTATTTAGCTGGATAAACTTGACTAGAAAGACAAGTAATAGGCATATCAAATCAAATTGAAGACATTAAATGATTTGTAAACAATGAATCTTCTAATTGAACGCTAGATTTCGTTTCCTCAGCTCTTCTAATAACTCCGAGGCTAAATCTAAACAGCAAATTGAACATGAGAAAAAAGATGAAAAAATATATGGAAAAAAACGCTTTACTCCAAAGGTCCGTTTATGTACAGAAAATCTAGGGTTTTCATAGTATTCGAGATGGTCTGCGGTTTCCGGAAAGTTCTGGAATGCTACTAAACATAGTAGCAGTATAGATAGCCATCCAATCAAAAACGTGACATATGACTTTTCACTTTCTAGATGCTCCTGGCAAAACGCCTATTGAATACTGATTAGATAAGATGTTTCTCAGTGTGTACAGACACATTTTCTGCCTTTTTTCAATGGGAAGATTCAAGTAAACAATGGTAAGTGAATTTAAACTTCACCGCATTGCAAAAGCAAGTGGCTATCAGGACTCAGTAGCTAAGTAAATAACGTGATGGCGCTTGAGTCGAACGATACCGGGTTCGAGTCCCAGAGTGAACATCAACTTTGAGATGCAGATACATCCAGCTGGTGAGTCGCAAATAAGACGAAACGCGCGTCAAACTGGATCCCACCGCTAGCCATTATCCATCTTTGCTTAAAAAGCTTGTAACTCAAGGCAATATGGAGATAATCCTCACTGAATGCACATATGAAAATAAGAGACTGATCAATTGCAGTCCCGATCATCATTGGGAAGATTCAAGTAAACAATATCAAGTGAATTATTTTCTAAATCATAAGTTCAGTATACACATATCTTTATTATGATTAAAAGATGATACTACTTACTATACATAATAACTGATTTGATTCATCTGTACTGAATATTAACACACAATTTGTATAATTCGTTTTCTCAATTATCTATGTTTTTAGAAAAATCAGAAACAAAAACAAACAAGCAAAGACAATCGATAATAAGTGAATTTAGCATGAAGTAAACGATTGAAGAGTTAAGTGTAATGAAAAACGATAAACAGTTTGGTGAATTGGTTAGGGTTGTTTTTAATGAGTTCGTTCTCAAGGAGATGTAGTCGCTAACTCCATAGAGATGTGAAGATGCAGATTGGAAAAAAGCATGAGTAGCATATCTATAATTGAAGAACATATGGAACTCAATGCAATTGTCTGTTAACCAACACCAAAGTCAGTATTTTCAATACAAATGTCAAGATTGTTCTATTGTATGGAGAGGAAACCTGGAGAACTACAAAAGCCAACATGCACAAGATACAAGTGTTTATTAACAGTTTTTTACACAAAATACTTCGGATCCATTTACCTAGACAGTATCAGCAACAACAAACTACTATGGGAGAGAACAAATCAGATCCTAGTGAAGGATTAAATCAGGAAGAAGTACTGGAAGTGGATAGGACACACAATGCGCAAAGCACCCAACTACGTTATCGTAAGAGAATCACTCACATGGAATCCTCAAGGCTAAAGAAGGAGAAGAGGAAGCGCGAAGAACACATTACATCGAGAAATGTGGACAGACATGAGGAGAATATACAAGAATTGGATAGAAGTGGAAAGGAATGCCGAGGATAGAGTGTGTTGTAGAATGTTGGTCGGCAGCCGATGCTCCTCGACGAGAGATAACAAGAATAAGAAAGTAAGTTTAGTTAACTCATTAAATAGTCTGTAGTTAATGGTAACATTGTTTCTATATGTAATACAAAAAAGAACGGATCTATGTAAAATTTACTTTGTTGACACTTTCTCTTATGAAATAGACCAACACTCGTACACTAATGATAGAATGATATGATAAAGATCTTAAATATGAATTTTATATGATTATAAATATATTAATAGTGCTATACACAGCTATTGTTACAATTACATTTTTTGTTGTTGAAACTATTTAAGTGACGTAAAAAAGTTACTATGACAACACAACAATGTATTCCCTTCATAAATCAATGAGATATAGGCCAGATATTCTGAATTGTTATCAATGAAATTCATTTCTTTTTATTATAAATACTTCAAATTTATTAGAAACTGTACTAAATATCTATAAGCAGAGATGAATAGTGGCTAACTGTGGAATCCAAAACACGCTTTTCATCCTATTTGGGACTCATCAGCCAGATGTATCTGCATCCCTTAGATGATGTCCATTCCAGGATTCAAATCCAGTATTGTTCGCTTCAAACGGCATCACATTATCCACATAGGTACTGACTCTTGTTAGCCATTTTCTTGTGCAATGGAATGAACTTTCAACACATATTTGTATTGGTTGTTTGAGTCTTCCAATTGATGTTTAGGACTTTAATTGATCAGTTTCATATTGCCATATATGCATCCTGCATCGATATTACATGCTGACTAGGACCTCCTGCGCTCAAACTGGGATAACGTTTTTTCATGTAACCACTTACTTCGATCTGACCACTCGAGTAGTATCACAGCTCAAAAACACAAATCAAGTGAGTTATGTGACGCATATGCATTCGATGCCCCTTGGTACCGATATTTATGTGTTCAAATCAATAAAAAGTATATATATATTCTACTCCTGTATAATAGTTTGTCATTAATTGACCTTATTTATTAATCTATATTATTAATTATGTTATTGTTCTATTAAGGTTAATAAAATGAGTTTTGTTTTTGTGTGTTTGTGTGTGTATGTGGTGAGGGGAGGGGGTGTCTTTATTTCACAGGGTAGAAACAACAATCAAACAAACAATTAACCTAAAGATAAATAACTTTTCTTTTCCTTCATGTTTACATACATTAAATGATGAATAAATTAACTAAAATGTAGATAAACATTCATTTAATCTAAACATATTCAGGAATTAAACTATTCGATATCTATAGTCTATAGGGACGTCATATTACAATAATAGTAATAATAATAATAGGAGTAATAATAATAATAATAGTGATAATAATCGTGGTAAATGGGTTTCCTTTTTTCTCTTCTTTATGTTTAGTGTATTCAAACTAGTAATAAAATAGATTATGACCGTTTTGACGAAGTTTTGTTCTTTGAGGACGAAACTTTATCACAATAATTCATTTGTGATACAAATCTTCTACTTCTTTTTCATGATTATGATTATGATTATTTAATGGAATTAAAATAAATTAAGAAAATCTCTTTTGATCATTTTATTCAATTGTAATGAATGTTTATTTAATGATTGAACGGATGAAATTGTATATCAATTCTATTCAAAGTTCAAGAAGAATTTCAAAATGTTTTATAATCATATATGAAATATATATGTACATACTTAATCAATAAATTTGAGAGTTTCTAAGTGAGTAATTTTAATCTATAATGAAGGAGTTGAATACAATGGTCTTGAATGATGTTAGAAATATAAAGGTAGTTATCACTTCCCGGTTGCTCACACCGTGGAAGGGTTCTTCCGGAAGTATCTAAATAGGAAATTGGATTAAAGGTGGTCTTGGTGACCCGAGAGCGTGACCGCAATACTCAAAAGACATTTGCTTGTAGTCGGTCACACACGATCATTTTATGAGTAATTTTCGTGTTAACTCCGTACATGTTGAGACCCTTACCACCGGAGACGGATATCCGTGGGATAAGGCGAGGTGTGTATTTTTAGGGTCAACCTTTTCTAACACCACCCTCTTTTGTGGGGAAGGCAGTATCGCTATCATTCTGATTGTCTGTAGGAAACAACTTACTGCTGTCACAGTTCTGTACAGCCAGCAGTACTACTTCGCCTTCGGACCTTGAGTTTGTTGCTTTTAGTCTTACGCTATTCAACCGACCTGTCAGGCATGGTAGGACCTTGAGGAACGATTGTTCTAGCCAGTATAACTCGATTAGTTCATTACGATAGGCAAACCCGACCACCACGTCAAGGTAGCAACAACGGTCGGACTAATGCTATGGTAACTTAGACCGATGCATATATGTGCCTGGTCCTACGTTGTAGCTGACTGACTGACTGAGTCTATAATAAAGATTGAATTATAAATTTGATTTTAAAAAATGTAAAATGATTGAACTATTAGATTGTGAAGATGATCCACGGGTGAAGTCGAAGAAGCTGTAATAAGTTCAGAAAGAGCTGAAGATATTCCATTCAATCACCTTTTGGAAGAATATTCTAGAATATATACGTGTAGCTTCCCGACTGAACAATACTAGAAACCCCCTGTGTGCGGATTGGATAGCTATAATTATGAGTTCGCTTTTACTGAAAACTATAAATATCTGACAGTTTTGTACTATGATTGACGCTGTCTAGAATAACATTCCTTTCGCTTGTCTTCTATATTTTCATTTGAGAATTGGAAACGTTTTAGAGTTCAAGTGCTCAAGTTATACGTGGCATATCAAGAATATAAGCTCTAGATATAACATAAAGATTGGATAGTATTGAGTTTACTATGTAATTCAAAGTTGATGTATTGATAAGGCGATGTCTTGGAGGTAGTCGACAACAAACTATTGATCTAACTTGAGAGTTTGTGCCCCTGTCAATGTATAGGGTAGTGATATCACCACTTAGAGAACAGTGAATTATCGACCGAACCTGTACGAGCAGTCTAGAGTCCTTATCGGTCCTTCTCTCTGCCTAGTCCTACCTGTTAGAGTCCAGAACACCAACTCAGCCTCTGAGATATGAATCATGTATTTCAAACTTACTAGGTTTATATGCCAACCAGACAGACCACAATGTACCATAAAATAGGAAACAACATTTGAACAGGATTTAGCCAAATGTGACTGTGAATGTGGGAGACTGTAAGTGATATACAAGGCATAACTCAAGAAAGGTAAATCGTATAATAATAGTTCATATGTTAAAATAAAGCTTATAATAACTGGGACATGAATATTAATAGTTTAGTTACTTAACAATTAAACAATAAAAATATACTAATAGTACTGGTTCATAGATGAATCCCAACAGTTAACATTCATTATTCTCATCGGGACATAACACTAAGTTTCATGATATTTGTCACTTACGATCAAGTTGTACCTATAATCTTGAAAGAACTGATGATCCCTAATAGAATGGAACTTACTTGATATATGCATCTGCCTTTAAATGTTGATTAACACATCGACACTTTAACATTGTTTCCAGTCTTTTAAATGTAAGAATCTTATTTACTAAATTTGTGTATGACAAATATAGCTGGTGATTATTGTGTTTTTTTCTTCAAGTTGTTGATATTCTAGACTTAATATGATTAGTCCCTTTTACTTTACAATATCAAAGTCACAGCCTTCAATACGAACGTCAAGACCGGTTAATTCTACTGTACGGAGAGCAAACCAGCTTCTAACTGAAGAGGAAATTAGAAAAAAAATGTTGGAAGTGGGTTGATTGTTCACATTTAATTTGGTTAAGCCCTTTTGTTAACTTATTTAACAGGTAGAGTCATTCGTACGATAACAACTTATCTATACCATTGTACCTTTATTATTGTTGCACTTGTACAAATATGCATGCTTGAACATTGTGCCTACTGTCTATGCATATATTCATTCTGCTAGCCTTAGTGTTAGTCTCTTAATTGATTCGATGGTTCATTCATTTCATTATGCATATATATGTACATTTTAATCCTGTTTATTGACTTGACTCGTTCATTCGACTCGCACGCTCACTCACTCGCTTGCTCTTCAGTATTAGCCTTTCATTCTTGTTTGGCGTGTCTGTAGTTTTCGTGATCTATGCATCGTGCAATAATAAACGTGATCGACACTTCGTACTTGTCTTCTGATTTATATACCGTTAGGATGTCGTTATTTAATGACGGTTATCAAGAAGAACTATCTACGAAGTTTAAGAATTATATCGAATACCGACCACTTCAAATTTACAATATAAAAACTTGTTATTTATTTAAAATATAAGTTATAGATATCCGGTTTAGTTTTGTAAATCTACTATCTTCTTAGTAAGACATAGAGATAGTGTAAATAATTAAATGTGTGGCGAGACTAAAATTTATGGACCAACTAATAAGGTATAAGATAGCGGGTCTTTGATTTTGGCTCCAAAATTCATCCACCCATTTGGATAGAATTTTAAATATACAGATTTAATATATTATATAACAGTATGGTTTCCTGGAGTTCTACTGAAAAGCCATGATCAATGGAGTCCGATTCGTATCAAGTAGAGACAGATATCTACCTCAAACAATGAATGAATAATTACGCGTCTGTTTATGGATCGATAAAAGTTAGACATTAACGCTGTTGGATTTCGGCTTTTTGATCTAGATGTTAAGCATCCGCATGCAAGATTTAAGGTCTTGGGTTCGAATCCCAAGTGTGGGATCTTGGATGCACATTGTTGAGGAGTTTCGTACTAGGATGAGACGGCCATCCAGTTTCTTCAGGTTTTTAGTAGTGATCTAGCCTAGGTGGACTCACGAATGAACTATTGATTATAAGAATGATCAGTAAAAAATAATCTTATTCTATAATCAATAGAAGAGGTTATAATAAGAATAGATTAATAAAGAATATTAATAATTAACATTATAAGTTTAGATATTATAAAATGAATAACTGATCGATTAATAGGTTATAATAACAGTTATTAATATTTAATAAGTGAGAAACAGGTATCAACTGTTTTCTTATTAATGAAGTCATTTTTATGAGTTCACCCTATCCCCCCACCCACCCCACTTAAGTTTATGTGTTCTTTATTGTCAAATATTTATATTAAATTATTAGTGAAGTGAATAGTATTGTAATGAACTAATAACTAAGCATGAAACATAATTGATTCAGTTCATCTTATATCATGAAATAAAATGAAATGTGTATCTATGACAATTTTCAATTTCATAACAAACTGTTAACACATCACCACTTAGTGATTAATCAATTGTGAATACATCTCAGTCCCACAGGAGGTCAGTCGTAGATCGGATAACCCAGTGGTAACATCTTTGATTGTGAAGCTAGGTGACACAAGATGGAATCCATCAGGGAGTATCATTGCCCTCAAGATTATACTTAAGTTACTTAGTTACTTAAGCCTGTTACTCCCAATGGAGTATAGGCCGCTGACCAGCATTCTCCAACCCACTCTGTCCTGGGCCTTCTTTTCTAATTCCATCCAATTCTTGTTCATCTTTTTCATGTCTGTTTCCATTTCTCGGCGTAATGTGTTCTTTGGCCTTGAGGATTCCATGTGAGGGCTTGTCTTGTGACGCAGTTCGGTGCTTTCCTCAATGTGTGTCCTATCCACTTCCAGCGCTTCTTCCTGATTTCTTCCTCCGCTGGGATCTGGTTTGTTCTCTCCCACAGTACGTTGTTGCCAATAGTATCCGGCCAACGGATCCGAAGTATTTTGCGTAGACAACTGTTAATAAACACCTGTATCTTCTGGATGATGGCTTTCGTAGTTCTCCAGGTTTCCGCCCCATACAGTAGGACTGTCTTGACATTTGTACTGAAAATCCTGACCTTGGTGTTGGTTGACAGTTGCTTTGAGTTCCAGATGTTCCTCAGTTGTAAATATGCTGCTCTTGCTTTGCCGATCCGCGCCTTCACATCTGCATCAGACCCACCATGTTCATCAATGATGCTGACAAATACGTAAAGGTTTTTACATCTTCCAAATTTTCTCCGTCAATCGTGATTGGATTGGTGCATTCTGTGTTGTATCGGAGAATCCTGCTTTTCCCTTTGTGTATATTGAGACCCACTGCTGCTGATGCTGCTGCCACACTGTTCGTCTTCTCCTGCATCTGTTGTTGCGTTTGAGGTAGAAGGACCAGATCGTCTGCGAAGTTTAGATCATCCAACTGCATCCTAGATGTCCATTGTATACCTCGCTTCCCTTCAGACGTTGACGTCTTCATGATCCAGTCGATCAGCAGGAGAAAGAGAAAAGGTGAGAGTAGGCAACCTTGCCTAACACCGGTTTTCACTTCGAACGGCTTTGTCAACTGTCCTCCATGCACAATTTTGCAGTGTAATCCATCATATGAGTTCTGTATGATATTGACTATCTTCTGAGGCACGCCGTAGTGTCGACGAAGCCTCCATAGTTTTGTTCTGTCCACGCTATCAAATGCCTTTTCGTGGTCGATGAAGTTGATGTAGAGTGATGAATTCCATTCTATTGATTGTTCCACAATGATCCGTAGAGTTGCGATTTGGTCTGTACACGATCTATCCTTACGAAATCCTGCCTGTTAGTCACGAAGTTGGGCGTCTACGCAGTCCTTCATCCCGTTTAACAATACTCTGTTGAAGACTTTTCCTTGTATTGAGAGAAGAGTGATGCCCCTGTAGTTATCACACTTGCTGAAATCGCCTTTCTTCGGTATTTTGATCAGAAGTCCTTCTTTCCAGTCTTTTGGTACTTGTTCCTCATCCCAAATTTTATTGAAGAGAATGTGGAGTATCCTTGCAGTGCCTCTGCTGGGATGTTGTCCGGTCCTGCTGCTTTGCCACTCTTGATTTGTCTGATGGCCATGCTGATTTCCTCAATTGTTGGTGGGCCAACATTGATTGGGAGGTCCGTGGGTGCTGCTTCGATGTTGGGTGGGTTCAGTGGGGTTGGTCGATTCAAGAGTTCTTTGAAGTGTTCTACCCACCTGTTTTGTTGCTCTTCAATGTTGGTGATTACCTCGCCTTCCTTGCTTTTTACTGGTGGTTCTGGTTTGCGGCGATTTCCAGAGAGTTTCTTTGTCGTGTCATACAGTTGTCTCATGTTTCCTTCTCTTGCAGCCTTTTCCACCGTCAATGCTAAATCTTCCACATATTTACGTTTGTCGATTCTGATGCTCCTCTTCACCTGCTTGTTTACTTTTGTGTATTCAGCTTGTGCCTTGGCTTTTTCTGCTCTTGTTCAACTGGTATTGATTGCTGCTTTCTTGTTCCTTCTTTCTTGAATCTTATCCAGTGTATCAACAGTGATGATGCTTCTTGTGACCCAGGACCTCATGACATGTTGAAGTGATTGCCTCTTTGATCTCCTTCCAGTTGCTCTCCACAGTAGTTCCTTCTCCATTGAGTAGATCATGAAAGGCCTGGAACTTGTTGCTGAGGACTATCTTGAATTTGTTGAGTTTGTTAGTATCCTGAAGAAAAGCCGTATTGAACTTTTGTGATATTGTTCGCCCCATTGTCCAGTGCTTCTTGAGTTTCAATTTCATCTTGGCGACCAGCAAGTGATGATCTGATGCTATATCGGCTCCTCTCTTGGTTCTCACGTCCTCTATAGTCCTCCTGAACGTTTTGTTGATGCAAATATGGTCGATTTGGTTTTGCGTGGTGTGATCTGGTGAAGTCCATGTGGTTTTGTGAATGCGTTTATGTGGGAATATGGTGCCACCTATGACCAGTTTATTGAAGGCACATAGGTTTGCAAATCTCTCACCATTTTCGTTTCTTTCTCCCAGTTCTTGTCGTCCCATGATGTCTTCATATCCAGTGTTGTCCGTTCCAACCTTGGCGTTGAAATCTCCCATCAGAATGGTCAGGTCCTTTGTTTGGCACTTCTCGACGATTGACTGCAGCCTATTGTAGAATTGATCTTTAGTGTCTTCATTGTAGTCGTTGGTAGGAGCATAGCATTGGATGATGTTCATTGAAATACCCTCTTTCTTTGTTTTGAACGAGGCTTTGATGATCCTTGGTCCATGAGATTCCCATCCTATAAGCGCATTTTGCGCTTGTTCGGACAGCATCAATGCAACTCCTTGTGTATGTGGGGCATTTTCTTCTTCATGGCCGGAGTATAACAGAAGCTCTACTGTAGTTAGTCGTTGTTGTCCAACTTGTTTCCAATGTGTTTCACTGATGCCAAGTACCTCTAGGTTGTATCTTCTCATTTCTGCAGCAATTTGGAAGGCTCTCCCGGTGTCCCACATTGTACGAACATTCCATGTACCTAAATAAATGGTCGCTCTGGTTGTCAGAAGGGGCATCGGCCTCGTAACTTCCGAAGGAATTCGGTTTTCATCATGAGGCGTCATAATTCTTCTAAATGAAGACCTTCTGACTCCCAGGGCAGAGGTTGAAAGGTTTGAATAATTTTTTCTGGTTAGCGTTTTTTTAGAGAGTTAGTTTTCTACGGGATGGGGACGCTAACCCCATGCCCAACCCTCCTCCTTTATCCGGGCTTGAGACCGGCAGTAGCCCCCGGAGGGACTCCAGGCGGAGTTAAATAGCATAAAACTCGGGTACAAGATTTCCTGTTAACTACTTCTAACCACCATCTTACATCAAGACATTTTTATTGTACAAACTTGAAAAAACGTCTTTAGACTACACTGAAATAAAGCGGTTAATATAAATATTACTGATTAAATATGTCAAGTCGAATACTTGAACAATACAAGTTTTACCTGTTGTAATAGATCCTTTGACAGCGTAAGTAAGTTGGGATAGATGAGTTCTGAAATTTGCAAGGAAAAATTAAATAAAACACTTATCTTGTTTAAAAGTTTTTTTAATTTTTATCTGAACACATAAATATTGGTACAAAGGGGCATCGAATACACTACTCGAGTGGCCATACTGAAGCAAGTGGTTTTCTTAGGGAGCTACACTTTGAGCCTTTGACCTAAAGGTCTGATCCATTAGGTAATGGAGTGACGTTAGGAGATGTAGTCACATGTTAGTCAATAACTAGCAATGGGTTTATACGCTATTTGTTCCTTCGGGATCCAGGAGCCCATGTTCACGATTGGTTTAGAGTAAGGATTTTCCCACTTCCTCAGGTGAACTCTCCATGTCCACTAACCCAGTTAAACCACAGGACATTCACTTTTTGCCTTCTTAATTTCGTAAACAAAGCCCTTGCTGCGAGAAGGCAGTGAGTAGGACTCGCTTGGCAGTGTTTCTATACTCGTGGCCATGTGAGAGTATTTCGAGAGGGAGAGAGAGAGAGGGCTGACTCTCCCCACTCTCGATCGTACCAGGGCATTTAGGGGCTAACTAGTTATTAGTAATGCATAAAATACTTTTTCACTTTAATGAGATCATTGTTAGGCTTTCAAAATACTAATTATGATAATTAAGAAGAATGAAATTTAAACGAATTATAATAACAATTGACAATGAAACAAAGGGTTCAATTAGATAAAAGACTTTGGTTTTTTCTCATTTGAAACGAATTGACTACAATCCTGAGTGAATATTTCCATCTTCAATGAATTTTTTGAATATGTCGGCCCCCAAATGCCCTGGTACGGCCGAGAGTGGGGAGAGTCCGCTCTCTCTCGAAATGCTCTCACATGGCCACGTGTATATAGCCTCTGCCGGGGAAATCCTACTCGTGGAGGGGGTGCTGTTTACGAAAATGAGAGGACGAAAAGCAAATGTCCGGTGCTTTAACCGGAATTCAAACCGATTGTGCACATGGGCTCCAGTATCCTGCGGGAACAAATGGCGTACGAACCAATCGTTGGTCACCGGCTACCATGGGACTGCATCTCCTAACGATGCTCCACTGCCTTGTGGATCAGGCCCTCAGGTCGAAGGCTCAAGGATTGGCCCCCTAAGAAAACCACTTACTCCGGTTTGGGCACCCGGGCAGTATCACAGCCCTCACACAAATCGAATGATTTATGTGGCGCATATGTATTTGGTGCCTCTTTGTACCAATATCTATGTGTTGAAATAAATAAAATATAATAAATTAATTCACATGATGAAGATTCTGATTACACATGTGTTCATATATTCACTACATGAATGCATATAGTATATAAATGTCTGTTCAATTAGCTTATACACTAACAAAGACTGATCAGATTATTCGTGAATACTATCAACAGAAAAATTCACAATATCACAATAGAATGATCAGAGGCTGATAAAATGGAGCTAATCCATGTCAAATTAAGACAGATATCTACCTCAATACAATAGAATATGATCACGAAATTTCGTGGATGAATTGAATTTAGCCATGAACACCATTGAATACGAGCTCATTGATCTAGATATTAGGCGTTCGCATACATAACCTAACGTCATGGGTTCGAATCCCACATGCGGGATCATTAGTACTGTTATAACTTGTGACCTGAGTGCCCTGCTAATGTATAACGTAACGGTACCGCGAATTAGAGAGCAGTGACTTATCAATCGGAACAATGACGTATAAAACCCATACGAGCAGTCTAGAGTTCCTATCGGTCCTGCTTCCTGCCTAGCTCAGTCAGTTAAGTCCAGAACACAAATCTCAGCCTCTGTGATATGAATCATTTATTTCAAACATACTCGGCTTATATACCACCAGTCAGACAGACCACACCTTACCATAAAATACGAAACAACATTTGGCCAAATGTGGCTGTGAATGAGGAAGGTAGTGGTTAATAGACACGGCATATTTCAAGAATGGTAAATCGTGTAATAAGAGTTCATATTGTCAAAATAAAGTTTAGAATAAGAGGAATATGAATATCAATAGTACGATAGAAATATACTCATAGTATTGGTCCTTAAATGAATCCCAAAAGTTACCATTCATTATGCTTATCGGAACATAACAAGTACTCACTACTGAGGAGTTCCATACTAGTACTACTAGTTCTTCCAAGTTTCTAATAATGATCTAACATCCATCTAACCAATTGTTGTGAACGGAGAATTAAAAAGCCCAGACAACTACGAAAGCTATTTTCTTGGGACGTTATTGTATTTCATTCAAACCCTGTAAAACACTTATATTTATTTTTGTCCCTATCTTATTCTACATAACATGAGCTTTCGTTCTATGTATCATTCACTACCATACCCTTTTTTGTTCCGAAAATATTGTAATTTAAACATAATATTTTGCACCGTATTTTCTATCCTAATTCCCAGTTTCGGACATAGCTGTATTTTTCCAAATTATCGTACGTCGTGGTCAAGATATTCACTTATTTATTCATGTACATTTTTGTTCTAATCCGAATTCAGAGAATCTAGAGTTCAGTGTTCCAACTGTCTTGTCTTCTCTCACTTGCGTGCTTGCCAACCAATCAGATTCTAGAATAGTTCTCTCTCTACCCCATCTCGAACTCACGCGTGCTAGACTCAAGGTTAAGCCGCTCAGCCTATCGCGTCAAGGTCATAATTTAGACTGGACAGATCAAAGTCGAGTCATAACAAGTATCAACGGGGTAAAAGCGATTCAAGGTCATAACACCAATTCACTTCGAACAATTCAAAGAAATGCTATACATATTGATGCTTTCATTTCATCATAATGAATATTTAAAGCGAATTCAATACAATCGAATGTATCACAACTATCAATCATCAAATGTAACTACTTCAATGAATTGATTTTATTAAAAAAAACACAAATTCAACTTTTAAAATAAGTTTTCAACTTTCAATTATTCTAATGAACAAACAAAAAAATTTATAGACTATCTATTAAGAAACAAAGAATGTAAATTTTAGGGAAAATCAAATTACACGCCATCTTTTTTCAAATCATGCTACATATATCAAACAGCACCATTTACAATATCTCTCCCTCTCTCTCTCTCTTCCTCATAGTTACATACGTACATACACACACATGGCAACATATGCAGTCATGCACAAAAATATGCATCTTATTTTAATGTTACTAGTTTTGTGTGTGTGTGTGACGATAAAATGAATAGACTCGATGACAATGCGGTTTTGTGGAAATTGAAGTAATTTTTAATAGTCGAGTTCATCAATAGATTAAAGCTAGACTACCATGGAAAACTTGGAAACATTGGATGGCTGTTTCGTTTTAGTATGGGACTCTTCAATGGTGCACATCCACGATTCCACCCCACGGGACTGAAACCCAGAACCTTAGGTCTCGCAAGCGAACGCTCAAACTCCCATTTATATCTACCATCTACCTGAAATGATTTTTTCTTATAACATGTATTAAAAGTTCTGTTCTTGGATATTACAGAAATCTCATGAGGTTAAGCGTTCGCGAGCGTGACTGATAGGTCCTGTGTTCAAACCTCGCGGGGCGTGATTGTGGGCTCGCTGCTGAGGAGTCCAGTACTTTCAGGTTTTCCATAGTAGTCCAGCTTCAACTGACTCATGAATTTAATTATTGAATAAATATATTTGTAGGAAGGAAGGCAACCAAAATATATTAGATTAAATATGTTCATCTCATTTAAAGGCTTAACATAAGCTGAAACTGAATTAAAATACAAAGGATATTGAAAATAAGATGGATATTACTATAGTGTAAAGTGTTTTAATTTGACTTGACCGGGAGGGGGGCTAAAGCCATTAAGTATTTCAGATCTAATCAAACTTCATTTATAATTATAAAAACAATTGTCAGTATAGGGTTGTGAAGATTATCAAGTTACTGATTAAGATCTTGAACCGATTGATGTCAAATCACGATTGAACAGATGAAAGCAATGGACGACCGTTTCGTCTTATCCTGGGACTGAGTCCAGTGCTTTCAGGTTCTCAATGATGGTCTAACATCAATCGGTTCAAAATCTCAATCATAAACAATTGTATTAAAAATTCATTTCACCTACAATAGAATCTTTGTTTTATTTATCCACTGGTTATTTTGATCCTAGTTAATGGAAGAAAACTCTGGACCTAGACTTCATATTAGTTAATACTATTCACCAAAATTTAAGATACTGATACTGAGTTCAATCATTGTCCAAATAACTCAATTATAATAGTTCTGACTGCGAAACTGAATGAAACATGTTAGGATCTGACAGTAAGAATAAGCTCTCTTAAGATTACAGGTTTGCCAGTACGAAACTTACATCAATGAAACTTTGATTCTCGATTGCATTCAATTACTTAATAAGATCATTTATTTATTTTCAATTATGACTCTTAGTAATTATATGCTTACAATCTACCTAAATGAGCATCAATCCTAAGCATTACTTTTTATGTCGTATGTCAAACGTATGTAGTGTTGGTTGCTATGTTGAACCCACATAACTTATTCTAGCTTCCAGATAAGTTAATTTATTCATTCTTCTTGAGTTACATTTTGACCTTGTTAATTATTCGCTTATCAACCAACCTTGATTGTTTTTATATAATCGTATATGTGCTAATCGATTACCCTATTCAATACGTGTCTGCGATTAATTTTTTGAGGTAAGATGGTGGTTGAAGGTAGTCAACAGGAAACCCAGGACCTACGTTCCGTGCTATTTGGCACTCGTCAGCAATGTGTACCTGTAATCTTGAGGGAACTGATGCTTCATGAAGGATTCGATCCCGTGTCACCTAGCTTCACAGTCAAAGATGTTACCATAGGGCTATCGGGTCGCGAATGTCCTCCTGTAGGACTTAGATGTAATCATGATTGATTGATCACTGGGTGGTGATCAACGTCATGTGTGTCAAGTCCTTCTTAGTGCAGATCAAATACTATCGACCATGTGAAGCTGGGTAACACGG